GATTGGTCTGAGCAAACTGCAGAGACACAACAGTCGGAGACATCGGAACAAGTTGAGAGCAGAGATCAGGACGATGGCAGCTTTGTGACCCCACAGAAGATTGGTGGGATTAGTGGGATCAGTGTCAGTGGCCCGGCGGCTGGGCGTGCAGAGGAGCACACAGTCACTTCTGCACGTACAGACCCCCAAACTGGGCAGCCAATCAGACCTCTATGTCAGCCTCTGAACACCAGGAGAGAGTGGGTGGGTGGAGACAGGGAAAGCCGGCATGTCACTCAAACTGTAGAGAAGTCAAAAACTGTCCTGAGCCCTACGGACACCAGACAAACTTTAAACAAAAGGCAAGGCTCTGAGAGTAAGGCTGTGGCCTTTACTTGGACTACAGCTATGGAGGAGCAGGAAAATAGGAAGAAATCTGAAGCTGGCTGTGGCAAGTTGGGTCTAACAGCCGCGTGTGATCCCACTAATGACGAGGACTTTGTGGTGCTCGAGAAGGATGAAACTTGGATGTCTCCTGATGGAGCAAATAATCCGTTCGGCAACAGGATAAAAACAGAGAGTCGTCAATCATGTATCAAAAGAAGAGTTGAGGAAGACTCCTCTCGCCGTGATAATAACCGTCCACAACCTTCCGGGAACACCCCGCAAGAAAAAGTATTGGAGAATAAAAGCAGAAGACCATCTGACACACTTTCAGTCACGGCTGACAGTGTGAAAGCACGTGCGAAGAGTTCACCCGCTGCCTGTCTTGAGGGCGAAATGGGTCAACATTTGGCTGAAGTGACAGGCAGCAGGTGTCAGCTAAAAGGAGTCAGTCATGTTGGAGCTGCCCACACTGAGACAACTGGGAGAGAAAAGCAAAACTCAAATGACCACCGCAAGGGGCAAGTTTCCACTCACATCAAAAAGGAGCACCTGTCAACACAAAGCAACAGCAGTAATGATTTGGAAAACGTGTTTGATGAGGCAGGCCGTTTGATTACGCAGGAGGAGGGGGGTGCAGAGAGAGCAGACTGGGAACCATGCTTGAAGAAAGTAAATCTTTCTTTGAGACAATCACAAAATCAAGATAAGGAAAGCTACAATTCAGGATTTATTGCACAAAAAACACAAGTTGATCAGTCGAATCAGAACAGGTTTGCTGGTGCTGTCTCTAAGAGAGCTAAAGCAGGTACTCTTAGTTCATGCACCAAGAAAGAGGACAGCCAAGCATTAGATAGAGCAGCAGACTCTCACACCCAAAAGGCCAAGTCTCCTCGCTCTGAAACACCACAACTGCAAGACAATTTCTCATTTTCATTGGAACAATGCGATTTGATCCCTTCTCCTCCTCCGCCGGGGAATGAAGGCTTAGATGGAAAGCTACAGGTAGCAAGCTTAAAGAAGGAGAGTGAGTTTGTTTGCTTCTCTGCCGTCATCACACCTCCACCTTTAACTCATCTGTTGCCTGAGAAAGGCACGACAATGGCAAGACAACTCGATACAAGTATGGCTAATTCACAGATGGCGCCAGACGCCATGTCCACCTCATGCGATTCTAAAGATGAGTCCGTGCCAAAAGAAAAGCCCAAAGTTAAAGGTCCACCTCCACCTGTCCCCAAAAAACCTAAAAACCCATTTATAAAGCTTAAAACTGCGCAATTAATGTCTACCGATGTGCAAAGAAGAAACAAAGATCATCTGCGTTCTGAGGAGAAGGTCAAGAGGAGACACACTTTTCATTTTAACAAAGATCTTCCACGCAACGCTCCGACTAATCAGGACATGTGCTTGCTGTGGGATGAAAAAGGCACTTACACCGTGCCAGCCAACATACGACGGCTGTCAGTTGACCTCGGCCCTTGGCAACACCTTTCACTCGGAGACATGGATGAACGGTACGGAGATATGATCGACTATGACTACTGTGTGCGCATAGCAAAACTGTCTCCAGATGATGAAGAGCCAAACAACCTGGACATGTTGCAGAGACGGGTATTCCTAGAGAGACAGTCCAGATATAAAAGCTCACCTCCTCCTCTTGCGAAAAAGCCCCATGATCCTTTTCCATCCACAGAGACTCTACACATACCAGAGGTCATGTCGGACGTAGAAATCCAAAGACAAGAACCTGCATGTTTAGGGAAAAGAGAAATCTACCATGAGCTCCTATCTGAGAGAGTCAGCACACAGGTCGGCAATGACTATGCTACCTACGGTTACCGTAAAGATGTGACTGATCACAGTAGTGACAGGGACGCAGGAAATGGCAGTGAGGTGGGTTCCTACAAGCCCGTGGCAGAAATTATCAAGGAAACAAATCAAATGCAGAGACACCAGGGTCGGGTAAAACCTGAGGGGGCCAAAGCTCAGGTTCGAGTGGCAGAGCAGAGTCCAAGTGTGAAAGTCTCCCAAATGAAGAACGCCTTCGACGTCCCAAAGAAATCCAAAGAGAGACCACCAGAAGTCCAACCATCTCCAAAGAAAGGTAAGGTGTTTTTGTGGTTTATCAAAGCATTTATACACATATAAGCATGTGTGCTATGTTAGGACGAGAGAGCGCTTTCCAGACTGCATACCATTCACTGTCATGTGAAAAACTCTACACTTTAACATCAGTTGAAGGATTCCTTCTTCACTTGTGGTTAAAACAATTCTCCATTGGTTTATGAAACCAGTTACAAAACTAATTTGATGAACTCTAAACACGGCCAAGTTAAGAAGTGACTTTTATAGTGACATGTCCATATTTTGAAGATACAAAGTAGATGTCTTGACTTTGACCCTTGACCCTCTGAAACTGACTGACTGGCAGTTATTGAAATAAAAAAAATATTCAAAAATCAGATTATAATTGTTCTAGTCAAATTTTGTTTTATCAGAGGATCAAAGTATATGACGATGTTGATGTGTAATGTGAAAGGTGTTGCTTGTTGTAAAAAAAAAAAACTTTTTTCACCCAAAACTCCAACAAGTTCTCCCTCGGCTCTGAGGGGGATTTTGGCCACTTTAAGTTTATCATTTTGGTTTTACTCCTGCTCTCAGCTAAAAAGCTTGGATAAACCCACAGTTTGCTTCCTGTCCAGCACTGAACAACAGAGAGACCAAATTATCAACTAGATGGTGAACACCTAGCAGCTTGATATCTGCTGGATGTGTAATTAAGCAACTGTTTGCTAACATAGTCGTCATGTTTGGTTTTTTGTTTTCCCTAAAACACACATTTAATTCAAAGCAGCTGATGCATTCATGCTCAGTGAACAAAGTCAACAACTCTGCCAGTAATGGCATAACAGTTATATAATATCCAACATCTAAACTTTTATACCTAATTCTTTTACCAGTCTTCTTTTTCATGTCTAGTTGGGAGAATAATTTAATAAAAAAAATTAAGTTTCCCCAGACAGCTTTTCAAGTGGCTGAACTGACTTAGTATATACATGCTTGTCCAAGTTTCATATTCATGTTCATATTCCTTTAAGTCAATCAGTGACCAAGTTAATCCTGTCACCAAGGACCTCCTCTTTTTAATCTCAGCCCCTGTTCACATCTGATTTCTCCCACACTCCAAACACATGCAGCTCGGGGCGAACTGTAGACTCTAATTCACCACTAGGTGTAAATGTGAGTATTAATGTTTATCTACCTTAATAATCCCTCGGGAAACTGGCCATGGTGTTTCCCCACCTCCTGCAGATTCATACTGGGATAGGCTCCAAGGCCCTTGCCCTTAAAGAAGTAAGCAGGTTATGAAAGAAGCAAATGAATCCTCTTTCTTTCTTCTACATCTCCCATCCATTCATTTACAATTCAAACAACATTCTCTTAAAATTAGTATAGATTGAATTACAATACTTAATTACTCAGGAACTCTTACCTGTTTAAATTATACATCATCAAGGTGCCGACCAATTCATTAAAAAAAATTGTAACTCAAGGTCCACTTACTAGCTTTGCAGTGTTTTTAACCGCACCAAAATGTCTTCTCAGCTGTCATGGAGATGGATCTGTTGACATGTGAGCTCAGTAGCTAACTAAAAGTTACAAATGAAAGTTACCTCTTGGACTTGATGAAGACTATATGGTTGGCAGCATTGGAAAAAGCTAGTAATTGGACTTTGAGTTCAGATTGTCTTGTCATACTACTGTTTCCAAGGTCAAGAATCAACTTCCATGCTTGCTTGACAATGGTTTTCCAGTCACTCTCAGATTCTGCAGACTTTCATCATAATTGTTAGGGAGCACCATCTCCCTCAGTTACTATGTGCTAAGCCCCTTTGTTGAAGAAAGGTTGGCATTCACTCACAACATAGTTTTTTGTTTTCTTTGTTTAATTTCTAGTCACAATATCAGTTGCCAAAGACAGAGAACTCTACTTAGCATTACAATAAAGTTTATTTCTTAAAAATATCCAAAAGGAAATTCTGTTCGCAAAGCCATGACATGTCCTTTGTGCTAGTGGTTAAAAAGGAGCCTTAACTGCAGCGTTTTTATGTTGTGTATGAGTGGGCATGTTCTCAGATTTACATGGATAGTGGATGTATGATGAATTTAAGTGAATAATTGAACTATGAATTGAGGAACTGTTGCTTGTACACTCAAGGCCAGTTTGAAAAGGCAAACAGAGGGAATGACTGACAGCTGATTCTCCTGAATACCTGTGATGTATTGGGGAGTTATTGTGTTTGGACAGGACAGGCTGGGGTGGGATGGGGTGGGATGGGATGGGACAGGGGGGAGGGGAGGGACCCTGACACAAAAGATGCTGCTGGCTATGATTTTCACAGTTTTACACAGCTGAACAAAATGAACTGATTTAGTTGGTCGACATCAAAAGACATGCGGATGACATGGGGAGAAACACAGTTTTCCTGCAGCCCCATCCCAAATCACAGCCTTGGGAAATGAAATCTGGCTTTTCGTTTGCGCATGTGCCGTAGTCGGTCGTCACCGTGTCCTATTGAATTTAATAACGATGAGAATAGACGATTGCTAGTCTTCCGCAGGTGAGGAGCGGGCAGGAGATGCTCTATTCGTCAACTGGCATCCTGAAATACCAGTAGATTTAAAACACTGACTCCTGGCCACACATTTGCAGACAGGAGGGGGAATAAGAGCAAAGCGGCTGGGCTTTTTTGTGGAGACAAGGGATACTAGAGCAACGTCCTGCAGGATAAGGGCGCGCCTAAACTACCAGATTCATGTGTTGTGATTGATTACCCCCGTGCTTACGAAAATCTTGCATAGATTTAGGAGGTAAGAAACGCTAAAAAGTCTCTTAGCATTGTGCATTTTCCATGTGATCTATCGGTCGGGGCTGTGCAGCATCCACTTAGATCGCTAGATGGGTTTGAGAACGGGAGCAGCCAAAAACCTTGGGTGGAAATATCTGCACTTGCGTCAGCTGGCAGCGGTCCACCGCAGCTAACGGTTAGCAGCTAGGCTAGGTCGCTATCCTAGCTTAACTGAAGCGTGGATGCAAAACACACTGGCAGGCTAGAGGAGAAAAAAATAAACGTTGTAGTCCGAGTGGACAGCTATGCACGGACATAACACACAAGTCGTACGGCTGCCGGTGTAATATTTTAAAGAAAATGTTAATTAAAAAAACACCCCACTCGGCTTGCTTCATCCTCGTTCGCGGTGTTGCTATGTGTCGGCGGCTGTTGAGACGGGACCAGCCCCGGCACAGCTGCCGAGCTGCCGGCCGGGGCAGTGCGGCGGAACCCGGTCTACGACTATTATACGCCTCCTATAACGTTATACCTTACGCTAATAAAGATTCTGCATGTTCGTGAATCAAAAAACTTAAATTAAAGATCATACTTTGGCGTTTTCAAGTGAGAGTCACATCTGGGGCGTGCTCTTCAAAATATAAATCTGCATACTCTGTCCACCCCCTTGTTTCGGCAACGGTAATGTTACGTTAGCAAGAATAGCTAAGTAATCTCTAACCAAAGCTTCCGCACAACATTAACGGGTTTGAAATAACTGAAAAAGATAGCTTAAAAATATCTCACTATCACCTTGATATTCTAGTTTGTAGCTACTTGTTTCAATGGGGAGGAGGGGGCACACCGAGCTTTGTGGTAACATCAGCTAACGTTAGCCAGCAACCATTGTTTAACCGTGCAGCTGTTTGCACCTCCGGTGAATAAGATCAGTCGGTGTATTTAGCACATGCATTTAAAAACGTAACAGCACGGTATTGTGATAAGCTTAGAGTGACTTCAAGTGATAGTGATTGGATCTTCGGTTGTGTTGTGCACACCCATTTAGTCGCATTGTCCAGACAGTGAAATAACAGACGGGGGAGGGGGGCAGACCCCCGCAGGGCTGCTGACTATATTTTATTAATATCAGAGAAGCCATTAAATTCTCATTCAGCTTATCCTCTCGGACTTTAATATCTTAGCACGAGTGTGTAACTGCTGTAACAAGGCCTTTCATTGAGTGTACTATCAGCCAGGCCACCATCATGATGCTCAGCAATGCCCTGCTGTGTGCTGAGTGGTGATGTGGTGATATGTTGTAGAGAGCAGCATGTTGTAATGTATGGCATGATGGCATCAACTAAAACCCGGCAGGGGCTGAAGCAGGTCATCTTGTCAAATGCATATTTAAAGTGAGGGGGGCTTCTCCTGAATGGAGCACTAATATTAGCTGAGGGAACACGCTGTTCTGGTCAGTGTAAACTGTTGTCCTGTGCTGTCCAGGCATTATGCAGCCTTGCAAGAACATGATCAATGTGTATGGCACTGTTGGACATTACTCCGTGAATCAAGGCCTTTCCAGGAATAGTATTTGATTCATAAAAAGAGTCATGTCCAGTAATCCACCTTGAAACTGTTTTTTTTCTCTCCTATCTCTGTCTCGGCTGATAATAATAGTAACAGATGGAAGTGTTTTAAGGCTACAGGCAGCCTTATGCTGTGTGTATACAGTATATAAATACATTTATGTGGATATAATAAAAATAAACTTAGTCTGAGCAACAAAGCTATTTTAAAAACGACAGCTTTTTAAATCAAAGATGCAAGTTTTGTTCAGTACTTTGCAAAACTGTAAAATATGCTCTTCTGTTGCTGAATGCCATTTTGGAAAAATCCAAGTTTCTATATAAGATACAGAAGGCTGTGATTCATCTTTTCCATTTTCATAATCTGTGGTTGAATGTGAAGAAGCAGGTGGTTTGGTGTGATGACAGACCTGTGGATAACTGGAGAAAAATCCTGCAGCATCATGTACAACAGCTCAGTATGTTGCTTCAGACTGGCAGCTTAATTACCGACCTGAGGCGCTATATTTTCCACTTAATTACATAGCGAAGCATGTCACTAGAATTATGAAAAATCTCCCTCGGGTATCAAAAAGAGAGTTTTTTAGAGTTATAATAGACAATGCTAAGACGAGTCAAGTTTCTGCAGAATTTCCACTTTGTTTGGTTTTCATATTCTGGCTGCAGATCTAACCATCTCAAGATGCCAAACAATGGAATCTGCTCTGGGAACGTTTGTCTGCACTTGATGAGTGACTTCTGTTCTTAGTCTTACCCAGTTTGTAAACCCCGAGCTACAGAAGTTGGCCCCATGTTCTGGCAGGAAGAAAAGCAAAATATTGCTTGATATGAATCATATATTAACACAGTAGGCCAAAATTCACTAAAACCCACCTAAGTCTACCTATTAGTTGACAGCCTTTACAGAACTTGAACTTTTTCCTCTCAGAAGTCTGAGAAATTACACTGAAATAAGGAGGTAAACACAGCTGAAGAAAAAAAAATCCTCATGTTTTACCTTAGGTAGAGCTGATTTTATTTACGTTGCATGCAAAGGAAGAAACTAAGTCACAGTTAATAAAGGTAATCTCAGATCAGACAGACTGTGCTGGCAGTAAGCCAAACTTAACCCTCAGCATGCTCAGTGGTGACAGAAGGATGCTCATTTTTAGATTTTATAGCATCAGTTTCTGTGGAAAAAATGGCCACTTTCGACAGTGCTTATACATGTAATGCAAAAATGTATTCAACAAGATTATTTGTGGGGAGAGCCACTCAGGAGCTCTTGGCTTACCGCTCTCTTATTTCTCTCTGCAGATATGTTGCGGCGAGTTGTGCGACAGAGCAAGTTCCGTCACGTGTTTGGTCAGGCCGTGAGGAACGACCAGTGCTACGATGACATCCGTGTCTCCAGGGTCACGTGGGACAGCTCCTTCTGTGCCGTCAACCCCAAGTTTGTTGCCATCATCATAGAGGCCAGTGGGGGAGGAGCTTTTCTTGTCCTTCCTCTACAAAAGGTGAGATGCTCTGCTACTCGTGTTTGCATCAAGAGATGAAAAAAATTATTTTTAGGTCCATTACAGAAGAGCTGTGAGGTCCAAATTTGCATGAAGTATCCAAAAATATACAATTTAAATAGGAAGGAGTTTCTGAAAGTCCAAGTACGGTCCAAGTACAGCATCTGCGATGTTGCCATATCCTACACGGAGTAGCGTAGCATGGTTTAAAGCAGTGCTCTTCAATTCTGGTCCTGTAAAGGTTGATGTTTTGTTTTTTTTCTGTTCTGGTGGGTAACGAGCCACAACTGCTCAGTCTATGGCTCAGTCAGAGTTTATCATATTGAAGCTCACTTTCTCCAACTTATAAATACAGTTCAATATCCTAGTGGAAATTACTCCTCTGAATTAGCATTTTTCATGAAGCTCCAGTACAGGATATTGAACTACGGTGCTAAATCTATGGCACTTACTTTATGAATAGACATTCATGTAGTCTCTATATATAATAGTTTACTACTCACAGCAGCAGCAGCATGAATGACTGTTTGGTAGCCAAGCACGGGCTGATCCACTTAATGTGGTCCTTGGCTGTGCTGTGCTTGTCAGTGCGCCTCTGAATACATCCAGCACTTACCACAAGATAACGCCAGAGAGAGTGTTAAGTCACTGTGCAAATTACATTACTGTGTTATTAATTTAACACTGGCAGTTTCCATATTGAGCAATCTAGTAATGCTAATGAGAGAAAGTCATAACACTGGGATTCTGTCCCATTTCTACCTTCCATGTTGTATGTAATCTTAGCCATGTTAGCAGCATGGGAATGCAGTGTCTGTCCGCCTCTTTGATCCTCACTGACATATCTCAACAGTTATTGGAAGGATTGTAATGAAATTTTGTGCAGACAGTCATGTTCCACAGACAATGAATCCTAATAACTTTAACGACCCCCTTGCTTTTCCTCCGGCACCACCGTGAGGTTGATTTGTGATTTTGAGTGGAATGTTTCTTTAACTTTTGCAGGGATTGCCATGAGGACTCTGTGTCCTGTTATGCGATTGAAGCTTTTTTGTAATTATTCTGATGGCATGTTTTTCATCTGAACACCAGAGTCAGAAATTCTCTAATCCTACACACAGAGGCTTTAACTAACAGGTAGGGATAAAAATATCTGTGTGACACTGGTCCTTCAGGACCAAAATTGGATACATAGGGTTTAAGGCTCATCCAGAGGTTGTAGTGCAGTGCGCTGTCATATTATAGCCCTCAGACCATGTGGTGAATCAATTCTATAGGCCGTTTGCTGTGACCCTGTCCTGCTGTTCCCTGAGGCCCATATCTGTACTAAAAAACGTAGATAATCAATGTTTAAATCTGCCCGATAGTAAAGGCATTTGATACATATACTGTTACAGTTGCCTCATTGAGCACATGATACTCACAGAGGGGATTGGGTGCTCTGTCATTATTTTATGCCACTGGGTTAATTCATTTATAGTCACAGGATAATGTCCTGCCTGTGGAGAAGCTGCCGTAACTTCAGGACATTCAGGTAGAAATCACAGATGTCCATCCACGATGAGAATGGATGAGGTCACTGCGGTAAAAACGTGTTTACTGAGAATTATTCGCCAGAGGATCGAATGTCTTTATGGCACTAACCTTCTGGTCTCCTGTCCCCTGTGAATTCAGGTTTCAGGTTTTGCAGCTTAAAATTAAAGTTCAGTGCGAATTGAAACCTCCCTCCTCTCTCAGGGTCGACCACCACAGTTTATTGAATTTTTGTGAAATATTGATTGGCATGTCAGGTCCTCTTTTTTGCTGGTTTTACAGAACTAGATGTTGTTTGATATGAGAATAAATAAACTTGAGTTGACGTCTGAGTGCAAGTTCTGAAAGTGTAAAATGATTGTTTTAGCTCACAATGTCAGTTGCTCAATAAAACTTGTGTAGTCATGCAGGATTATATAAAGAATACTTGTGTTATCCCTGTATGTTGCTCATTTTCATATCTCTCTGACAGGTATCAGCTTACCGAACTTTATTGCTCTACGTCAGGTCACAGTCTTTAACCTCTTTGTAACACAGTTGTCTTCTTGTCTTGTAGACTGGCCGCATAGACAAGGTCTACCCGACAGTATGCGGTCACACGGGCCCAGTGTTGGACATCGACTGGTGTCCTCATAATGACCATGTCATTGCGAGCGGCTCGGAGGACTGCACGGTCATGGTAAAGACACAGTTAATCTCCGAAGCATCACATGAACAATTAACCCTACAGCTTGTGATTTCTTGGACATGATGTGCTGTGTTAAGTGAAATTAAAAATATTATATTATTAAATGTTTTTTTGCCAGTGGTGTTTCTCTGTATTTGGCAAATATTATCAGCAGCAGTTACGACCAGTTTCCCTGGGCATATAAAACATTTGTGTTTGGTCTGACTGGTCTACTCTATTTCTCCATTTCAGTATTAGTACCATGAAAAAATAATTGACTTGACAGATTTTCTCTCTGCAGCTTCTAATTTTCTGCGTCTGTTTTGTATTTTTCTGGTTTAGGTCTGGCAGATCCCTGAGAACGGGCTGGAGACTCCCCTCTCAGACCCTGTGGTCGTGTTAGAGGGCCACTCTAAGAGGGTTGGCATCGTGTCTTGGCATCCCACCGCTCGCAACGTTCTCCTCAGCGCAGGTAACCTTTGACTGAAGCCTCTGGTACGGCCTCTGGCCTCAACCTGAAACGTGTAACCGGTCTGCCATTTGTCCACAGCTGAACTCCAAATCTGACCAATTATCTCAGGGGGCTGCCCCTCTGTTGCGCTGCTTTGTGTGATGTAAAGTGCCGAAAATAGACTTTGACACAGAGGTGTGTGCAGTCAGGCTGTGCTGTGTGTGTGTGTGTGTCCATTTTAGGGTGTGACAACCAGATCATCATCTGGAATGTGGGCACAGGAGAGGCCATGATCAACCTGGAGGACATGCACCCTGATGTTATCTTTAGTGTCAGCTGGAGCCGCAATGGCAGCCTAATCTGCACCGCCTGCAAGGACAAGAAGGTCCGCGTCATCGACCCCCGTAAGAAAAAGATTGTGGCGGTAAGTGGAAACGCTGAGGGGATGTGAGGGATGCTTGAAGTGTGAAATAATGTTTTCCAGAATCACTGACCAAGCCTACAAACATGGCTGTCCAATCTGACAGGTATTTTTGTCTCTTTTCAGGAGAAGGACAAGGCCCATGAGGGAGCTCGACCAATGAGAGCGATCTTTTTAGCAGATGGAAACATTTTCACCACTGGATTCAGCCGCATGAGCGAGCGCCAGCTAGCCCTGTGGAAAAGTGTACGTCACCATAGAAAATGTCATTCAGTCCTCCACACTCTGACACATCACAGAAACACTGCTCTCTATACGACACCTGCAGCTTTTACAGTCACGGTGAACTTTTTTATAGAGCTTTGGTTGTACAGTTTCCTGCCCATGATATATGTCAAAATGTTGTCTTCATCAGTGGCTCGTGTGTGGTGAACATGCTCTCACTTTTTGCTTCTTTCTCTGAACGGTTTGTGTCTGTAACTTCTCAGCTCCAGCAGGGGGCGGTGAATACAAAGAGAAAACCCTGTGTAAAGAAAATTTAAAATATTGTGAGAATGTAATTTTATTCCCGTTCATTGTTGTCAAAATGTGAGAGTTTGCCATGTATTAAACACAGGGGCAACTCATCCAGTCAATCGGCAATAATTTGATTTTAAGCATTTACCATGGGCAGTAAATGATCAAGGTTCCCCCAAACTGTACCATTACTTAAAATGCTGAATTTTGTGTTACCAGGACAACATGGATGAGCCAATATGTGTTCAAGAGATGGACACCAGTAATGGAGTTCTGCTGCCCTTCTATGACTCTGACACCAATGTAGTCTACCTGTGTGGAAAGGTGAGAAGCCTTATCATAGCGATATTCCTGTTTTGTTTCCCAGTTTTTAATAATTAGTGCAGTGCTCGTTCAAAATGTGCCTGTTGGTAGGAGTTTCCTGCTTGGCCTGTGTCAGTCAAGCCTCAGCATGCAAAATTACCCGTTACAGAAACCAACTGAATTTAGAGGTACGTAAAAAAAGATCCATGTGTAAATGTGTAGGCTCTGGGTTTAGGAATCTGTGTGCACACTTTATGAGCCGTGCTTTCAGATTCATAGTCGGTGCCCACAGATTTTATAAACTGTGTCCTCGGATCCAACGATGCAAACAACTTGGTTTGAAAGTGAGAAGCACAATAAATACAACATTGAAAGCTGTGAAACGTCCAATGCACAGCACAATACAGCATTAAATCTACCTGGAAATCTTGCGCTACCACATGACGTGGTTTAAATGTGGAAACCACAGTAAATACAAAGTTGCACGGGTGAAATGTCCAATGCACAACAGAATATAGTGTGCAGTTGAGTTTCTGGCATGTGCACCCTGTAAACTGTCCGGGTGCTCCACTGCCCTCATTGTGTCATTCCGCCTTTTTCTTCTCTTTAAGTAACATTTAGAAAAATGATGTTAGAAGCTTTCTCAAGAACTGCTCATCCAAAAAACTTCACAGTCAACATTGCACTTCCTTGTGTCCTCAGCAATACGCCCACGAAGTTTAATGTCAATGGGATGTCGAGAAAATCGAAATACAAACACATAGACAGGTAGAGATTCCTCCATTTATAGTTAGGTTACATTCACAAACTCACTTACAGCTATGACTGTGTGTCCTCAGGGTGACAGCAGCATTCGGTACTTTGAGATCACAGATGAGGCACCGTTTGTTCACTACCTCAACACCTTTTCCACCAAGGAGCCCCAGAGGGGAATGGGATACATGCCCAAAAGAGGCCTGGACGTCAACAAATGTGAAATTGCGAGGTAGCACACCAATTCTATTTTTTTTTTTAATGCTGTTCAGTTAGCATGTGATCCTGTGGATTCTGCAGGTAATATACAGTATCGGGGTCATTACCAAATTTGTTGGAAAATGCCCATATTTCTAGACAAGCAGATCAGTTTAAACAGTTTCTGCCTAGATTTCATATATTCACACAGCCAGAAGTTGCAGCTGGGGGGAATAACAAAGACTGCAATTTATTTTCTTTGTCAATAAATCTACTGATTATTTTCACAATTGATCTTTTGGTCTCTAAAATGTTAAATGAAAATAGTGAGCGATAGCCTAAGTAGCTCCAAGGAACATGGGCTTTTAATAGTGCTAGAAACCCAAGTACCATATTTAGTAGTTTTTTTTTTTGTGTTTTTCCATCCAGCAAGTCAAAACCCAAAGATATTCAGTCTGGTATCACTGAAGATTATGAAATGTCAGCAGTCTAAGTGATTAATCACCTAATTATTTCAGCTCTGGACATGACTATACTTAACTATGAACCAGTTTCTTTTACTGATATAGAGAAAAGAAAACATTGGGGGAAAAAAGCTGATTTTATGACTTGGAGTCTAATTAGGTTTTTTAAAAAAAACAAACAAATGGTTAAACTACAGAGTTGTTTAAATCGGCAAGTCATTTATGTATTTTTTTCATAGTTTTTTTGGTCCTTTAAATAAACATAAATTCTCTGATTACTTAAAAATAACAATGATAATAATAATGATGAATCCTGCTAATATATCCATTTAAGTAATATCCTGGTGTGCTATTGTAAGTTTAAATGAATGTAACTACTCTTCCTGTTGTCTCTATAGGTTTTACAAATTGCATGAGAGAAAATGTGAACCAATCATCATGACAGTCCCACGTAAGGTAAGTCCATTTATATCTTGTAATAAATATGCTGTTCCTTCATTGCTGTTTTATAGACCATGTCGTTTTCCTCCATCCATACCTTTTCACCATTTTCCTTATGACATTTCCTGCGTGACCTTTCCTCTCTCCACCTGTCCAGTCGGATCTGTTCCAGGACGACCTGTATCCGGACACAGCCGGCCCCGATCCCGCCCTGGAGGCAGAGGAGTGGTTTGCTGGCAAGAACGGAGGCCCCATCCTTATTTCCCTCAAAGACGGCTACGTCTCCACAAAGAACCGCGATCTCAAAGTGGTCAAGACGAACGTCCTGGAGACCAAGCCGGCCACAAAAGCAGAGAACATCTCGACTGTCCAGAAGCTTGCCTCTCAGCATGCCTCACAGCCCTCAGTAGTGAGTGTTGAGCGATGGAAAACACCTGCGCAGTACTGTATAAACATGTCATACTGCTGAGGTTCTTGCTCAAAATTATTTTTCCTTTAACTGTTGATTTTATGTTTTGTCTATTTTTACTTGTGTTATTATAGCTAGCCTCTTAAAAAGAGATTCTGTTTCCTTTTAGTAAAACTGATGTGTAATATTTTAAAGTTGCATTGCACAACACTTTTTTTCGCTGACATTTGGATTCTCCCATTCAGAGTAATTATTATGGTTGGAACAATTCACAGAAGTTATGGATCAGCACATACTTTGGTAACTGGGTCACAATTCAGTGGAGCAGCAAAGGAAAATGTTAACAGCTCTAGAGCTTCATTCCCTGTGAAGCCTCTATTTGTTTTGCCAAGATTAACAACAAAATTTGTTTTGAAGTAGAAAAGTAAACAGCTATCGCCTTCAAAATCTTCTCTAAGCAGTTCTCTAGCCTCTCAAGTGCCAAATGAAAAATCTAAAGTATTTTTGTCAAGCTAATTTGCATTTCCATTTTTGACCAGAAAATGGAAGACAAACTGGAAGAGGTACTCCGAGAGTTCAAGTCACTCAGGGACCGCGTCATCCTTCAAGACCGTCGAATCGCCAGACTGGAAGAGCAGGTTGCCAAGGTTGCCATGTAAGACGCGGCCCCTTCCCAGGACCGTTCGTTGCTTTGGAGAGAATCGAATGGACGGGGAGGGGGGGGAGGGGGGGGTCAGCCACGCCCAGATTCTCAAGATTCGGATCCCTTCAGCTTGGCATCGTCCCTGCGACGAGTCCAGGCCCACATTCCAAGATGAACTTTATTTTTCCTCATCAAGCCTCCGGTTTCACACTTCGCCCTGACACACACAGAGAAAAGGAAAAACTCTTGCAGCTCATGTACACATTTGAAGAAAAGACATTTTTGTTGAAGGAACAGTCTTAACTTTTATTTTCTGATTGTGGTAAAACATTCTTATGTGAAGTTTGTACTTACTACTCAAAAACTGTATGTAGCATCCAGTATTTCCATTGTCCTTTTTTTTTTTGTTTGTTTTGCCAAATATAATTGTGTGCGGTTTCATGCACTGCTTTTACACTTATTTTCTCTCCTGTTGTACATTCCAGTCACAACCTGGTAGAATAAGTTAGTCAAGCTGGATTTTTTTTAAACAATAGCTGTTAAACTTTTTTTTTTTTTTCCTCCCACCAGTTTGCTCATTGATAACCATCAGATTTATGAATGTGGAAGAATTCCTTCTAAAACATTTTGTTCTTGTTCTTCTGGGATTGAAATTTAACATTGGGTTTTAATGGGGGGGGGGGGGGGGGGGCGGGGGGGGGGGGGGTGCATTTCTCTGGTGTAAATGTTGTGCAAATGTAGTGGTGCCTCTTGTCACTGTTAAGGGTCAAACTAAAGTCGCCCTCTCCAGTGCATATTTGGTGTTGGGAAGGGACCACTCACCCAGCTTGTGTTTCACTGAACCCCTGACAAACAGTTCTGTGCACATAATAAAGATTTTACACATGAAAACCTCTTTCTCTATTTCTCTATCTCTTTTTGGCTTAAGATTTACCAACTTTCTCTTCTGCCATCAGATATGGAAGGGTGGTATTCCTGCTTTTATGGATCAGAATACTTCCATTATTTTATGATCCTATGAGAAGAAGGTGGGTACTGGTTGCACTTAATATCAAACAAGAAAGCACTCAATCTATGGCTGCAAAACAAAAAACATTATTTTAATTATTCATTAATGTGTTAGGCTATTAAAACATCATAAATGGTGAAAAATGTGCGTCCCAGTTTCCCAGAGCCTTGATTGACGTCTTCAAATAAAAGGTCAGGGCCAGAACTCAAAAGATACTCGGTTCACTTTGATAGAAGACAAAGTAAACCAGCAAATATTCACTTTCGAGAGGCTGGACACTATTTGTGAGATATTTGTTTCCAAAATGATTTAAAAAAAGAAAAAGATGAATCAATTATCAAAATTGTTCTTCTATTTAAGCTCCAGCTCAACCTGAGTAGCTGTTACTTCTCTTGCCTGATGATGGTGCTAAGGCTTCAGTCCATGAGGTCAATAATATGTTGAATGATAGTAAAGTATATTTTCCCTTTTCATACTCATAGAATTTACATAACGTGGGAGTCATTTATTTTTTGACATGTGCACTTGACCTATATTGGTCTCATTTAGCACTGAAGTTACACTTGCTAGGTGTACCTAATAAACTGCCAAATGAATTTCCATAGGAAAGAGCAGCAACACCAGTCAGTCTTTTTTTTTTTACAGCCTGGAAAAATGTTCAAAACATTGAAAACAAAGTTTGTGTAATTTTTGAGGGGTTTTTTTGTTTATTTTTTTCATCAAATCTTGGTAGTGTTTTTTTGAAGACTACATCTCAGTATGACTCATCAGGACAGGAAGTGACAGTTATGGTTTCAGACTAAAAAACGTTTCTGTCACAGGGTACAAATGTTAGAGTCCAAACTTAAAGTGTTTGGACTATTGTTGTATACCACTCTTTAATCGCCAGGGTAACAAACCACCACGCTTCAGACTGATTGATCACGTCATTTCAGCTTATTTTATTTCTTCATGTGTTATAGTTGACATAATGTTGACCTTGTGTAGCTGATTGTCTATCACTGTGGGTAACTATGAAAGCCTTGAAGATCCTCTCTTTTTCCCCCACATGACTTACAGCTTTAAATCTTAGACAGAAGTCTGATCAGAAGTTGACGTGCAGTTTACAGAACTGAGTACTTCCTGCTACTTCGTAGAGTAGTAATCAGAACATCAGTTACACAGAGCAAACATGCTCTGCACCTGAACACCGCTCCTGAACCTCTCCATCTGCAAGGTAAGACTCTTTATCTGCCAATAAATACATATAAGATCTTCAAACATTGTAGCCAACCCAATGTAGAGTTTCATTTTGTCTTCAGCAACAAAAAGAAGATTCTGATAAAATTTGACTTCCTCACTGATTCAAACTAAAGCTGTGCGTTCAAAGGAAGTGTGTCTGTATCTGACTTATCTGAAAATGTTAGATAGTGCTGCTTCTTTTTTTTGTTTTTTTTTTGTTTTTTGTTTTTTTTAAAGAGTGTGAACATTTCCTGTTTCTTCTATCAAGCGGTGTCACAGTCACCACAACAGTGCTCCAATGATGTTCTTCCACAGAGACTGAAATGAGCTGAAGGCGACTTTTATTAGTTTTTATCTTCACATCCTTCCATCTGCTTCTCCAGCGGCGAGGTAAGACCCTGACGCATTTAAGATCTTTGTTCTGGTTGAATCTTTTTGCTCTTGGGGACAACTGTTTCCTTGTATAGTAGAATAGGATAAAGATAAACTTTCTTTTTTTTTTTAAAAAATGCTCTCCAAAAATTTCCCGTTGTGTTACCAGAGGAAATGTATCTGTGTTGTCTACCTTCTACCTTAAACGCAGGTTGTATTCTTAACTTTGGCAACAAAAGTTAAAGTTTAGAAAAAAAGTTTAAACATTTTTTATTAAAAAAAAAAAAAAAACATTAAATGTGATTTATTTTTTCTGTATAGACTCCTTTTAAGTGAGTTTTAGATTCACTCTACAAATGCAGTGGTTCTCTGTATTTTTCTGTGAAAATGTAGCAAAGGGTGTGGTGAAAGACTCATGACTGTTTCATCATAAGGTGTCACTAACAGACACATGACACATTGATTTTTCCCCATGTGTGTGTCTTTTTACTACAACTGTTTACTACTTTTCATATACAACCTCCCTCTTGCACTGCAGCCTGTAAACTTGAATCTTTCCTGTCGTTTCAGATCTTTTGTTCAACCATGATTCTCCTCAGCGTGAAGGCGTGTCTGACACTCCTGTGGGGAATATCTGTTTTGTTTTCTGTTGAGACGGAGAGTGCTTCCATCCCAGAAACCAGCAGCGGCAACTCAACTGCTGAACCAAACAAGGCAAACAGGCCGCTATCCACTGCACACGCACCTCATAATGAAACAGAGGTGCAGTCTGCGATGTTGGATCCAACTCACAAACCTGCAGAAGTTGCTGTTACTGCAACAGCAGACACCGTCGTGTCACCCACAAGGGAAGCAGAGGAGGTAGTCGTCAGTACCAGAGGTGACATCTCAAACGGCAGCACAACTCTCAGTTTGTTTGCTGTGACCGGTGTGACAACAGCTGCAGGCAGCTTGGGTCCACGAACGCGTCATACCTCCGCAGTGGTGACCCCAGCTGCAGATGATGCACAACACACCCGTGATACGACATCGACAGAAACAGCTACACCTAAAGATCAGTTACAACAACAGTCGTTCAACACTTCTACTCACATGACAGCTCCTGCAATAACTTCTAGGGCATCCTCAGCAACAGTGCCCACGTTTCCACTGCAGCCCACATCCACAGCTACACCTGATGTTACATCCGAGTTATCATCCAGCACCACCTCTGCTAATTCCACTGATAAGGCTTCACACTTAATCAGCAGTCCCTCAGCTTCTGCAACCACACTGACAGCAAGCCCTGCCTCTGAGGCAACGCCTGTGTTTCACCCCACGTTTTTACCCGTAACAACAACTGAGACACCCACCGCCAGCGCTGAGCTTTCTTCTACATCTCAGCCCATTTCCCGCACGAGAACCCACATCTCCACATCACAGTTTCCTGACACAACAGGGTTGAACTCTACCCCCGAGTCTCCTGCCACCACAGCTTCAAATGACTCCTCTTTCTCCACTTCTGCCTCTACCTCTGCTGTCTCTACCAGTGCAGCAGGAATCTTCATCCCTCACGTTCCCAAGAGGTTGCCAATTCCAACCACCAGATCAACTGCAGCACCTACAGCAGCGACTCGTGAAGTCTCAAAGAGCCCACCCAGCACTGAGGTCCAACCCTGCTCTACCCGAGGAGTGGTGAAGCACTGCCTCATCGCCGTCGCCTCCCTGGCCGGATTGGCCACCATCTTCATGGTCTCTACCGTTATCCTATGCGCCAGGCTGTCAGCAAGGAAGTACAGGGTCAGGAGACCTCAGCAGGCAACTGAGATGATGTGCATCTCTGCCCTGCTTCCTGAGAGGAATTACTCCTACACAAGGCAACACAATCCAATCACTAACGGAGTCCTGGTGATCCCCAGCGCTGGAGACAGCGAGGAGGACGGAGGAGATAACCTCACTCTCAGCAGCTTCCTCCCAGAAAACGACCGTTTTGTTTAAGTTAATTTATCAGTATTGACATGTTTTCATCAGCCGGACTGATCTGGCTGATGCCAGTGATGTGGAAACTGTTGCTGTTTTAATAAACCAATGCTTCCTCTTTGATGTTGTTGGTTTAGCTTCAATGCACACCCTACTCTTGTGCAGGAGCAGACATAGAAACCACAAACACACACACACGCAAAAAAAGAAAAACACAAAAAAAACAGAAACAGTTTCTGTTTCATCTTGACGTACCATGAACCATATCTGGTGTTTGATTAAACCGTATCTGGTGTTTGATTGAACCTTATCTGGTATTTGATGCAGTGGGGTCATCAAATTTGTATTTTAAGCAAGAATGAACATGTTTTCCATAATTTTACACGTGCCTTCCTCTGGAGACTGTGAGCCAGGATGCGGAGCATGATCAAAGATTTTTTTTCAAACATCCTGAACTGAGCCCTGATGGTGTTTCACTTAGCAACAGGAGACAGGAAGGCTTATTATGTCAAGGGATTACTGTTCTTCACAGACACTGTTCAGTTTACAAGTGCCATTCTAGCAGCTGTGAGGCTTAATTGTATAATTGTATTGTATATGTAATTGAGTATTTTGAGCGATGATAAACTTTATGTGACTCTGCTTATAAGGGTGCTTGTGTAGAGTTGCAGTTTCTGTCTTGGGATAATTTATTAAACAAGTTTCTTTTTAACATTTAGTTATGACTTTTTTTTTTTTTTTTTGCCTTATTATTTCTTGCAAGTTTCCTGGAAAGAACAACGTTCTTTTAACATTTTAACACTTTTAGTGTAGTTAGTTGTGTTGACTTTAAAAGCATTTGTTGATTTTGAAAGAACTTCTCCATTTAAACCCAAGAAAAGATTCATTCAAAAGCAGTCTAGGTTACACTATTAATTGGAAGTGATTATTTGACAGTTTACCAGTTGAAAACATTCTGTATTTTAACTATGATTAATCCCATATTACATATTTCTTTCCAGGAACCTTCCAAGGAAATTATTAGAAAATGATTAGACGTTACACATCCATAAAATAATCCATCAAAAGTTGTTTTTTTTGAGAGCTGTTCACTCCTCATAATCCAAAATTTGTGCTAAAAATGTCCAAAATAAGAGTTCAAATTACAAAAACATACAGGATAAAACAAGTTATAGTTTTTATTCCATGTCCTAATGTGTCTCTGAGCGCTCTGTGGACTTTATAAAAGGCTTTTCTTTCTACCCTGGACTTGATTTCATATTCACTTCCCTTCCTCTGAAAAGAAAACAGCCCTGACTGCTTATAAGGGATATGAAGCCTTGTTTTTTTTGTTTTTTTCTCTTTCTTCCCTTTTTTTTTTAACGTTTAGCAATGTGCAGTTGAAACAGATACCGGTGACTATCAACAGAGCTGAGACAAATGTAAACCTGGAGGATGCCGGACCTCATCTCATGCTCCTGCTGACCATATAAAGCTAAGTCTTGCCTTGACTGATCGCAAACACACAAGACTTGCCAAAAATGCATTCACACGCACACACAATCACTTGCAGGCTCACTCATACCAAGTCACACTCGTTCCCTAAAGTGGTCACACACACCGTATGAGTTTAATTGCTTGCCTCTGGAGGGAAAAAAAACACAGCATTGTTTCTGGCAGTCTCCCCCCTCCTCCTGGCCGTTACACAGGAAACATTAACCTCTTCCTGCATTAGCCGGTCACTCATACGAGCTGCTCTCTGACTCTTTTTTTACCCCCAAGAGGTCTGCTGTTAGTCATTGGTGTCAGAAGATAAATGGTTAAAGGAAAGGCCAGGCTGTCAATCATGGAGAGATATATTAGATGAGATGTTGCTGATGATAATGATGTTTGAGGGTTGGTTTATATAGCTATAAAGTATTTATTTTTTGTTGTCCTGGCACATCCAGTTTGCCGCACAGGAGAGTACAGGAGAAGACCCTGCCCCCACAGCACATTATAAACTCCTACCTAACAAGAACAATCTGTGTGCAGGCCGGAGAACTCAGACACTCTGAGGGAAACTGAAGGGGGAGGTGAACAGAGGAAAGGCAGAAGGAGGGATTTGTCCTCATGGTTAACAACATTTTTTTTTTTTTTTGCACTATCCAGACAAACCTCCAGTCTGAAATCTGAAACTGCAGAAGTGGCGTGGCTCGCCGAGCATTCGCTACTCTTTGCTGTCTCAGTTCACTTTTTCCAGACTAGTTTCACTCATCCTCCATCAGAGGTGAGTCCAACAGAGACACTTCTTCTCCTACTGTGGATGGTGAGTAAAATGTTCTGTCATTTCATATAGTTTTTATTATACTAATTCTTTTTTTTTTTCATTGAATGTTACACTGTAAAGCAGAATTTGGGTTTCTTTGCATCATATTAGCTCAAGTGTTTGACAGCATCATGATGCCTTCAGAGCAACATCCAGCCTCAGGGAGAAAGAACATGACTTTGAAAAGTTAAAGACAATATTTTCTGTCAGTTTTACACATTAAAATGGACAAAAAACTTGCACAAAAATCTGCTGAGTGAAGAGTCATTTCATGTGTGTATCCATGTGCATATGCCTGCCTTATGTGCATATGTTTATGCATCTGCTTGCACAGGCATGCGAGGTCATGTATATTTGGTCTGGGGTGAGGAGGTGATTAATTTTGAAAAAAACAAAAATGGTCATCCTCCAGATGAGAGCAGAGTTTCATGTGGCCCAGCTTGTACACAGATGCAGTAGAATAAGGATGAAAGTGTGGGAGCTGCTGCCAGTTGACACACAGACTGAGCAGAGAGCTGGCTGTGATCCAAAAAACTGTACCATCCTATATACCCCTTATGCCATGCAGACGTTTCTGTCTTATTTGACCTTTTACCTAACATTTTGAATTCTGCTATTATACAGCATGTATGTTCAGTAGACTCATCTGATCTCATCCGAACGAGTAAAAAAGTTCAGGCCGCGCTGGAGTGTATTTAACTTTGTGGCGATCAGCAAAGACTAACGACTGGTTTAGTTGTTGTTTTGGTACAATCCAGTGAACTTATAGTGTATGTCACCTTCATATTACACCTTCATACAAAATGATCATATCTAGGGACTGCTCATTGTACATGAGAATTACATTTAATATGCAGAACCCTTCTATGATGTAGAAATATTGGAGGTTTGGTTCAGTTTACATGGATGTTTTTAACAAATGGATCCTTGCTTCTCTGTATAATTATGTACGAGGCCCAGTTTGTGCCTCTCATGTATTACTTGAGCTACAGAGTGTGTTTTTGCCAAAAGCAGAACATTTAAAAGCACTTAACCGCTGTTGTGAAGGTATTTCCAGAATCCTCACAGACTCTTCTTAGCTTGTGGATGAAAAAATAATCAGTCCGCTGTAAAATAAATATGACTTTGACCTCATGTCCCATATTGTGCCTGCATTAAATATAGAAAATACAATGAAACACAGAGATAGACAAATATAACTGATAATAAAATCTATTTATAGTTATGTTTCACATACAAATTGAGCACACGTGTCATTTCCGGCCACCATCTTCTTCTGGCAGACAACAGGGGCACAACTTGAAAGATGAACAAAAGAATTTTTTTTTTTTTAATCCTACAGTGGACTGAATATTTTTTCATCCAGATGTTCAGAAGAGTCTTTGAGGATTCTGGAAATACCTTCAGACCAGTGATAAACATTGTTAAACAACTTACAAGGTTTTTCAAAGATCATTTATTTTTCAGAAAAACAGATGCTTAGCTCTAAACTATCTTCACATATGGCACTGGCATTTCAGTTACTGACATTTACTGTTATTTACAGATCCTGAAGGGAAACGATGCTGCCGATGGCCCTCCAACAGATTGGTGTGTGTGTGGTGTTTTGCATCAGCAGCAGTTTGGCCACACCTATACCTTTTTACAGTGCTCTGGAGGGAAGTACAGATGAGGAAGAACTCAGTAACTTAACTTCCTCCATGCCCACCAGCTACCCATTCTCTGAGTACCAAACCACACCTGTTGGCCCCAACCATGTGAAAACTGACTTTTTGAGTCAGGTTGTGAACTTTCTGGACCAGAACATGCTCCTCATCCTTGTTGCAGCCACTTTGATCTTTCTTGTCTTCCTTATTATCTGTGGGGCAATTTTCATGAGCTGCAGGCGAAAGGTTAACGCCTACTACCCTTCCTCCTTCCCCTCAAAAATGTATGTGGACCACAGGGACAAAACCGGCGGCACTAAACCCTTTAATGAAGTGCCAGAAAAGCCAGCTCCTGAACAGGAAAGTGAGCCAGTGGACTCTCACAAGCAGCTCCAGGCCGACATCATGAGGGCTGCCAAGAGCCTGCGCACACCAAATAAATCTGTTGAAGCTGTGGAGGAAAATGACCACAGTCAGAAAGCAGCAGACCACAGTCCTGAGGACAGCTCTAAACCAGATGGCAGCATCCTAGATCAGCAGCTGCCACTACCAATTCTCCCTGAGGAAAAGGAGCCAGGCGAGCTCCTTCACAGTGAAGCAGCTACCGCAGGAGGCAGCTCAGAGCTGAGTCCTCTGGAGCAGCCTCATCCAGACGAAGATGATTCAGAGCAGCCTCATCCAGACAAAGATGACGCACAGGAGCCTTTGATTGGCCGGAGTCTCCGGCCCTCCTCTCTGCATATTCACAATGACTCTGCTACACTTCAGCTGATCGCAGGAGAGAAAACTGCCTTCTAGCCACTCTGAACGCTGTGACCTGAGTTTATTCTCTTGAATCCATTGTTGGCGATTTGTCCAGTAAACCTCAAATATTTTTACAATTACAGAGGAAAATGTAAAAAAAAAAAGTTCCAATCAATCAATATTTGATCCTATGCAGGAAAGTGCACATACAGCAGAGCTTTCCTCTAACTGGATATTATGACATTTTATAAACATGTCTCATGCACTAATGTCTGGTACAAAAATATTTCCTTTTATGGGGTTATTTTTCTTTGTTGTTGTTGTTGTCTGCTTTAATCCTTGAGCATTCCTGCATAGCGGCCACTTCAGTAGACATGTAGTGGTATGGTCCCAGTTACCTTGTATTTCTGTGCAAAAACATTGAGCACTGACAGCCTTTCACAGATGAGTTTTGGTTTTATGTAAGCACAATAAAATTCATATATCTTCAGTTCATCTCCTGAATTACAGACCCTTTTTAATCATAGACCCCATCTTGACACGTAATAGCAGGAGAAGCACTGGTGTATATAAGTTTTTAGAACAAATGCATGTAATTTAGGTAATCAAGTTCCATAACCATTAAATTGTGCATTGTCCATCATTACCAAAATTAGATACACCGTGCTTTTCCATTTATGATGTGTCAAACTGCATAACATGAAAAACGTCTTTTATTCATGTTCAAAGTAGTAAATTGCAAGCAAAAACAAACACAAGACATGATTTGGGATAGTTTTATTGCAGATTTTCAAGGAAGCATTACTAAATAATTAGAAATGACACTAAAAACCAGTGGACCCTTTCATTTTTTCAAGCCACTTTGCTTCATTGCATATCAAAAGGTCAGTGCTTTAGGGTGCAGACAGGATACTTCAACAGCTCCTAGCTTTAATCAATATCTCCATCACACCATTCCACATGTACACTCCTCAAGCTCAAAATCTTGAAATATATCGCAATCTCAAAAATAAGGCTCAACTTTGTACCAACAACCCAAACAGTGCTTACATTGTGCGTTTACGTGACAGGCTAAAAGACAGAGTATGCAGGGTTAGAGGACCACAGACTAAGCCTGGTGTAACACTGCTACAGAGGGTTGACGATTGTACTTGTCATCAACAGATTAGGTGTGCGTTATCAATACTGCAGGAATGTGGAGTACTGCTATTTCTCCTCCTGGCAGCAGGAAGCAAGCAGTGGTGTCCAGCTCAAGAGTGGAAGTGCTCCGTTTAATTGCTGGCCCTGACTGCCTCCTGCTGGCCATCGTCTTGCTTGAGGCGATAGTCAGCCAGAGCAGCCTTGATGGCATCCTCCGCAAGCACTGGGGAGGAACAGGAATTAAAGGTTGAATATACACAGATACGTGGGACAGTTTGGAAAAGAAGAAACTCATTAGACGGATTCACTGAAGACTTACTGGAGCAGTGAAGTTTAACCGGTGGAAGACTGAGCTCTTTGGCAATGTCAGTATTCTTTATGGTCAAAGCTTCATCCACCTGAAAAGAAAACACACACTTTAGCTCCAGTAACCACACAACCATTACCAGTCAATGATGACACATGAGCAGAGCAGAATAAAGAGGAAGAATGAAAGTGCGAAAGCAGTTTCATGATTGTAACAAGTTCACTTACAGATTTGCCCTTCACCCACTCAGTGGCCAGAGAGCTTGAGGCAATAGCAGAGCCACAGCCAAAGGTTTTGAACCTGGCATCCACAATCTTCCCCATGTCATCCACCTCAATCTGTCAAATTAGAGTTTTACTCACATGCCAAAGGGGGGAAGAAACTACAAGTGATCATTGATTAAAATAATCGCTCCTGTGTGTTTACTAAAAGAAATAAAAGAAAAAAACACAGGAAATGCTTCACAGCAATGCCAAACTAAATAATTTAAGACTTAGCGCCATCTACTTGTTAAAACAAGAATGTAACATATCAGTGCTCTCTGTGTGTTTCTTCCACTTTTGCTGTGTTATAACAATTCAGCCCTGATGGTTCTCTGTGTGCATACAAAAGGCTATAATCTATCCATGCTTAGTGACAAACATACCTGGAGCTTCATTACATCTCCACAGGCTGGAGCTCCCACCAAGCCAGTCCCAACACTCTTGGAGTTTTTGTCCAGTGATCCCACATTTCTTGGGTTCTCATAGTGATCCACCACCTTCAGACAACAGAGAAAGGAAACACCGTGATAGGAAAAAGTTGTTGACAATATTTCATAAAACTTAAATAAATTATAACCCACATGACAGTAGCATCCTGGAATGCTTTTTCCATTCTACCACAATCAGAAAACAAATGTCTATAAATTTGGTGTATCACTGTTATACAATGACACGTTTCCGCCATTACATAAGGGACACTGAAATAAACAGATTAGGACCGGATCTCATTGTCCTCTATATAAACTCCTGCATCCTGCCCTCTTCCCATAGTTTCTGCTGAGTCATTCTGACCAACACAAACTGCCTGAGCTTGTATTGCAGTGCATGTCCTGATTAGTACTGCATTTCATACACAAAATTTCATGTGATTTGAGATTTCTGCATTTTTGTTTGCTCTCAAAACTGTCTACAGCTATTCACATATTTATGATCTTTCAGCTTTTTATAGCATGTTTTATGGAGTAGAATAACACTAGTTAAATGACATCTTATAATGTTAGAGCTTTATAAGGACCTTTTTTGAGCACATCATTCTTTGGGCTTTTAAATCAACATGGGATGTTGACTTAAAAGCCATGGCTCATAGTTACAGTACTTCAAAGCTACAAAAAGCCTTTCAATAACTATATATAGCAGCTATGTGTGTATATATATAATTATAATAATATATAGTATATATTAGTAGCTATATTATATTTCAACACAAACCATCTCTGTTTACAAGCATAAACCAACTTAACTTGAATGTTTCTGTGATTCTGATGTCTACAGCCCTGTGTCTCCCTGTTGCATCAGACACTCATGTCGCACAATGAAAATCAAATATCTGAATGTGACTGTTCTACACTTCCGCAGGTGTTACAGAACATGTACAAGTTGTGTGGCACACTGTGCTTCTTCAACATACTGACAGCCCTTAAAGCTTATTAATCGGATGTGATTCAAGTATCAAAGCTTTGGCAGTGCCAGCTGGGAGGAAGATTAGTGACGTTATTCTAGTCTTCAACTTGCTAACTAGCTATGACATGAAACAAATAATGTTTGTCATTTTAGTAAGCTTTCAGGTGTATCATAAATAACAATTTATCTGTTTCTGTCACACTCGGCTCAGTATATGTAACCCACATGGAAGCAGGCTGATGTAACCTCACCTGGGACATTTTAAAAAGGCAGTTATGTACAGGGTTTCTGCAGGATTCACAAAAGACCTATTTATAGAGGTATGAAAATGTTATGGGAAACCAGTCGAGATGATAGGCTACATACTGGAATTATTTATCATTAACAGCAATATAACCCCTTTTCAGTACTTGTATGTAACATTAATGCCAATTTTTTTTAATTAATTTATATATTGCAAACTATACTCAGATAAACGTCATAATATAGATATATGGATTAACTAATGATAAACGTCATCACCTTTTACGATCAAATGAGATTTAATACTTCTTAATACTTAAAGAAGCCCCTTGTTTTGTTTTTTAAGAGAACTGAATTGAATTATTTTAAGACCCAAACAGCTGTGGTTAATTAGCTCCATCTCATTACCTGACCCAGGAAGACACTATCAAACTGTAACTGTAATATTTGTAAACATAGACCAAACAGCAGCGAGTAAACGCTGTCGTCCGCCATCTTTTAGTAAAGCTGAAATAAACTGGATGTTTTACCTTCTTGTGGTAACAGCACTGGGTGATGAACTCCGGAGCAGAGACCCTCCTGGTGATGAAAGCCAGAGGACTGAGACACTTGTTCGCAACGGTACCCGCCATGTTGAGAGACAGCAGAACTGACGCAGTTTGAAAGAGAAGAGCAGCTCGAGCTTTGTAGATCTAGCCCCGGCAGGCAACACGTCACTACCATGGGGCGGGGCTAAAGTAATGATATCTGCGCATGTCCGGTTTATATAAACATCTTTTTGTCATACAGTGAGTAGGCATATTCATGGACTCCAAATCGCTTCTCAAAACATACTTTTATCAGAGAGCAGAGATTTTTTTTACCATTTTTTTGTATTTTTATGTCACTTACAGTATCTTACATCACTGAATTGTTTTATCTCTTATTTAAGAGTTAGTTTTTAATTTGCTGGATTTTGTGAAGCACTTTGTTACTTTAGCTTTGAAAAGAGCTCTATAAATAAAGATTATTATTATCATTTTAATTATCAATTAATCAAACAACACCTTTTAATTAAACGACTCATTGTTGAGTCTTGGAAATGTCAGAAAAATAACGAAAAAATACCCATCACAATAATCAAGTTGTTAATTATTTTTCTGTCAATAAACTTATCGATTAATCAGCTTATTGTTTCAGCAAAAATGCAAAATGTGTCTAAAAGTTTCCAATAAGAATGAATAATCGATTAATACTTATTTATTTTAGTTCAAGCCGTTTATAGTTCTTTCTTGTAAATACCTGTGGACATGTAGAATAGAGGTTTACCTAAAACTTTATTCTGCAAAGTAACTAATAACTGCAGCTATCTGATAAATGTAGTGGAGTGCAATATTCCTTTCTGAATGGTCGTGGAGTACTAAGTATTAAGCAATACAGTTGTGAAGTACAGTCTTGAGCAAATACCTTTCACCTCTGTACACTATCAAACAATAATTTAAAGCACTTAAAATGAGTTCGACCTAAGATTTGCACGTTAAGGTTTCAGTGATGATAACACAACACCATTACATGCATTATGAGAGTGAAGGGCCCAATCTGCATAAATTGTATTTTTACTTTTGATGCTTAAGTAATTTTGTGGTATTAATTCTGTACTTTTACTAAAGTAAAACTGTATGTGTAGAACATTTAGTTGCAACTTTAATATTTTGTATATTGTATCTTTACCCAATAGAATGATCTAAGTACTTCTTTAACCAATGCTAATAAATCATGGAACAAATTTTAGATATAGGATCTTACAATTATCTTTACCACAGCACAGGAGACGAACGCTGGTGAACACTGGACCACATAGCTGGGGTGGCAGTGAGGCACACACTACAAAAGCACAAAGAAAAACAGGAAAGCTACAATGGTAACTGGCACTGAAGCAGCGCTACATAAACACAGCAAAAAATCACAAGCAAAAATGAGACAGAATTATCTGGCACAGGAGTCATGACCTGGCTTATATGGTGAAGGTGATGCAGAAGATTAAACCCAGGTGTGGCTCATCTGTCAGAGACCAGGGAGACAGAGTTGACCAGCCACGCCTCTTGCCACACACACACACACACACACACACACACACACACACACACACACACACACACACACACAAACACTGCAGGAAAGAGAGAACACAGATACAAAAGCAAAACAAAACGAACACAAAACTAAACCACAACAAATGTTTCTTCACAAATGGGCAATTTGGATTTAAAAGCAGGCTGCGTACAGATATGAGGTAAACTTTGTGGTCTCTACCACAAACAATTGTGGTTTATGTCTCCTGACAGATATTAGCAGTAATAAGACATTGGTAAATGGTAATGGGAGATGTTGACTCAACTGTTATTTCTATGTGTGTGCTTGTTTTATGATGTGTGATATTAGTGATCGAATGTATGATGGCAGTTTTTGATCTGAAATTATTTATTCATTTATTTTTCACTACAGAAAATGTTCTATAGGCACACCTTTGGGTGATTGATGTGAGCTGTGTGGTTGTATAATGGAGAGCCCCTTTGTTAGACCGCAACAGGCTGTTGTAATTCCAGAAACACCCATCAAAAAGCATCAGAAAAACACACAACAGTTTTCTGTTCTGTCAGCCAAAAACACAAATATTTTTTCATGAGTGAATCACAGACAGCAGACTTTCTCTTGTTCCATTACGTATCACTTCTGATTTTTCTCGTCATTTTCGTCAGAAACACTGCCCAGGAAACAGAAATGAGAAGTTGCATCCAACAGCAAGAGACTCAGTAAAAACGGACTTTACAGTTATTGCTTCCACATCTAGACAAACGTGAGTACCTAAGTTCATGTGTTTTATATGATAAACTAAAATATATTTTCCTGATCAAACTGTGAACTGTTACAATTATCTGTGTTCATATGTACTATTGTAACATTATAGGAAAAGAAACAAGCATGGATGTGGATTATGTTGAATATGAAGATTACACTCCAGGCAATGACACCGAGAGCAACACCACCACAGCTGAACTACTGAATTTCAGCAGTTCTCGGTCTGCTGTGACCCATGTTCTGGTGACAGTCAATATCCTTATAACTGTTATTGGCCTTGGAGGAAATTCATTAGTGATCTGGATCTGTGGATGGAAAATGAAAAGAACGGTCATCACCACCTGGTATATCAGTCTGGCCATTTCAGACTTTTTGTTCTGTGCGTTTCTGCCCCTGGAAGTATTCTACATGATAACCTCACATTGGCCTTTTGGACTGGTCTTGTGCAAATTGACCTCCTCCGCCCTGTTTCTCAACATGTACAGCAGTGTGTTTCTGTTGGTTTTGATCAGCACTGATCGCTGTATAATGATTTCATTTCCTGTCTGGTCACATAACCACCGGACAGTGCGGAAAGCATTTGGAGTTGTTGTTCTCATGTGGCTCCTTTCTGCACTCTTAACGTTGCCCTCACTGATCTTCAGACAAACCATAGTCCATGGCTCAGTCACTCAGTGCTACACAGATTACAAGGGCCATTCTGGTCACAAGGTAGTGGCACTGACTCGATTCATCTGCGGGTTCCTAATTCCTATCCTAATTATTCTTTACTGCTGCTCTGTGCTTGGTGTGAAGCTTCGAAGTTTGACCATCAAGTCAACAAAGCCTTACAAGGTCATGGCGGCACTCATCTTATCATTTTTCTTCTGCTGGGTCCCCTACCATACCTTTGTGCTTCTAGAATTAGATTTGAAGAACCACCGTGTGGATGTACTTCAAACTGGGCTGAAGGTGGGAGCCACCCTGGCCGCAGCAAACAGCTTCATATCCCCAGTTCTATATGTCTTCATTGGTAATGACTTTAAACAAACTCTAAAGCGGTCTTTGACATCAAGGATAGAGGATGCAATGGCGGAGGACTTTCGTACAGGTGCTCTCAATCACTCAAGGTCTAAGTCAATGGAAATTATGTAAAATGAAACTCAAACCTTTGTCATCAATGATATGGAGTATTACAAAGTATAGATCATGATTATTGAGCTGGGTGATATCAACAAAATCATATGTTATGGCATATTTCAACTCAGATAAGTATGGGTTATACAGTCTACTTATACATGTACAGTATGTATTGATGATTTATTTATCAATGATAAAACCTCACTCACTTTTAGAGAGTGGATTGGCCACTGACATACATTTTTGTTACTTTCAACTTAAAAAAACTTTACATTCAGATATCTTGTATTTTTAGATTGTTTTTATGTCTGTGAATGAATTGCTTTTGTGTTGTTATGTTTAGGGCTTCAAATTGCCCCTTGTGGAACAAATTGAGTTTTTTTAAATTAAATTAAATGTATTATTTGCAACACATTATAATTTGGTTGACCTAACTTTAAGTAAAACATACCTGAAGTGAAACATTCATGTGACCATCGTCTATGAATCGTTCTGGAAAAACAAATGTCTTAATTATTAATCTTGTTATTTGAAATTGATGCTAGCTTAAAATTTATGAAGGAAAGTAAACAAAATACGTACTACAAATGTAACCCTACTAGCAAGCAGTACTGTTGTGTATCTTTGTATTTTCTGTTATTTTAATTCATTAATAATAATTCATTAATTCAAAGGCAAATAAAAATATTCAACATGCTCTTAGTGTTTTTAAGTTAATTCTTTTAGTTTTACTGTTTAGTTTTAATGGTTGGTTCTCATATGTCCACCATGTTTTGTTTTTTTTCTGCAGCTGTGATGCAATGTACTACCTCCCCTGCACCAAACAGTAGACAGAGTTAGTGCAGGCTAAAACACAGTTAAAAAGTGAATAGGGCAGAATAATTAATTGAAATTTTATTGATATGGCCAAGAGCAATATCCAAATCGCAGGAGCTGAAATTTTTTGATGAAGGTAAGATGTGTCACAACATACCATAAATTAAGCATTGTGGTACTACAGAGATGCCCGATCAACAAATGATATTCTCAAATCGCAATATCAGCCAAAATCATCGCAAAATTATTATTTTTTTTACATTTTTACACATCTCTAAATGATTTGTGGAACTTTTTACTGTGTGCTCCTGACAGGCAAAACGGAGGGCAACAAAATCCCATGACTATAGCCACGCCCCCTGCCCCCACCTCGGGAACTACTACCGGTTTGTGCTACGGATGTGTGATGCAACGAGCTGTAAAGATATTTTCCTAACTCCTCAAAACAAGTTACTATCTTCAGCAAGAAAACTAAGTGTTTAGCCACAATTTGTACAAACGACTTTCTTTTCTTTTCGCTGATGTGTATTTGGTTTCAGTCTTCTTCGCTTGCTAAAGTTAGCATCTCCGTAACGTGCTAGCAGCCGATGGGGTTTGTCTGATTTCACTCCTCTTTTGAAGGATTATTCGCTTCAAGTTCTCTCTCTCGTCTTCTCACATTCGTAAGCCACAGATCCCAAACATTGGGCCTCCCCATGTGCCTCTTTTGAAGCTCTGGGTGCCGGCGGAGTTTCCCCCACCTGTCCCTCCTTGTTTTCGGATCCATTTTTAAATGGCAACCGCTGCCCCCCCTCCAGCCCCTGGCTCTACTGCGGCCACTGAAAACCCCAGTCCCGGATCCAGCAGCTCGACTGCGGCCGATAGCGGCAACCAGGACAGTACCTTCGAGTGTAACATATGTTTGGACACCGCCAAGGATGCAGTGATCAGCCTGTGTGGACACCTCTTCTGGTATGTTGATGTCTGTGACTCGTGTCTTAGTTTTGCATTATAACCCACCTAAGTCAGGGTATTAAGGCCAACGGCGAATGAGAGGGAGTCCAGATCCCCAGCTTTAGTGAGACTGTTAGTGGTTAATGAGTGAGTTAATTTTAATAAACAAGAAGTACACCAGTTTATTGGCACACATCGTGCTGGCCAGTATCAGTTGTGAAAAACATTTGACACCAACAACCATCATGAGTTGGCTGCTGATATCAGGCCAATTTTTGAAATTTGCGTGTTATCTTTATTCAAACAGCAACCTGTAAAGGTAAATTGGGCTCTGTTCAGTTTGTCCGGCTTTCCATTTTATTTGGGGAAGAGTAATATTGTGGGATTAATGTCTTAAATAGTCTAAATACAATCACAGGGCTACCAATGTAACATAGTCCATGTGTACGCAAACAGGTTTTGATGGTATCACCTTGGTTGGTTTCATGGAAAATTTCCAGTCTATGCAGCTAGGTCCACTTCTTTAAATATAACTCTGGCCAACCTTTCAGGTCAGGTCTTGAGCTTCTGTTCTCATTTCAATGGTGACTGTTTATTTACTCATTTTGAAAGAGAAAGCAATCCCAAAGCTGGATGCCACTTTCTTCCATTTTCCCTGCCTCTCTAGTAGCTGAGCCCACCCACATCTTTCACTTCAGATGTGGATGCCATTTTTAGTAAATGCTATATTCTTTGCACAGTAAGGTATTTCTAGGACATATGTAATATTTCACTAATCAAATCTCTTCTCTGTCCCATCATGTCAACTCTCATCTTCCTTTGCATCTCCTCTTAATCAGTTGGCCTTGTTTGCATCAGGTAAGTTGAACCCTTTAATCCCATTTATAACAGGGTATTTTTATTAATGCTTTATAACTGAAGTAGGTAGCATCTTAATATTTCTTTGTCTTGATGCAGTGGTTGGAGACCAGACCCAACAGACAAGTATGTCCAGTGTGTAAAGCTGGCATTAGTCGAGACAAAGTTATCCCCTTATATGGGCGGGGAAGCACAGGTCAACAGGACCCCAGGTTGGTAGTTTTGTGTAGTATTAAACTTCAGGCTGACTCTAAACTTCACATACTATGTAATCTCAATCCTCCTCCCCATAATACTACAGTGGTAAATATGTCCGATTCACATTTTGTAGTGCAATACTTCTAATTTAGAGTCACAACTTTAACTGCATTTTTAAACTGTGTTTATACTGGCTTTTACTAACTGTGGCTTTGTTTTATAGAGAAAGAACACCCCCTCGACCACAAGGGCAAAGGCCTGAACCAGAAAACCGTGGCGTAAGTACTATGCACAAGTATACATCCATGGTAATAACAAAGTATATGATTTCATGATTTTGTGCCAGATCAGTACTTTTAGTTTTCTTGATTCCAAACATGTTAGGCAGCTGTATGTATTTTCTCAGTGCAATGTCAGCTGTTAGGTAACATTATGCATTCATGATGAAACATTACATAGAATGATGCAGGTGCTGTGGTGCAACCCCTGTGTTTTATTCATTAACAAAAGGATATTTCCCACTGGGATCTATTAGATGCTAAGCTCTGAGTTGCAGAGGTGTCTCTTGAGAATGACCTCAAATTGCACTGCCCGTTGCGTCACATCTGACTAACTGTATGTTAAACTGTACCTCAGATATTGTGAAGATGTGGTTAAACATTAAAAGAATGTGCACACATTTTCATGTTTTACAGGGATTTCAAGGATTTGGCTTTGGAGATGGGGGTTTCCAAATGTCATTTGGAATTGGTGCCTTTCCATTTGGCATTTTTGCTACAGCTTTTAACATCAACGATGGAAGACCTCCACCAGGTACATGTGTTTAACACATTTCACCTTGACCACTCTGTCTCTTTTATCAACAACATATCAAATAACCTCTGTTAAACAATTTCCCAAACAGCAGCCCCTGGGACGCCACAGCACATGGATGAACAGTTTCTGTCTCGACTCTTCCTTTTTGTCGCTCTGGTGATAATGTTTTGGCTGCTGATTGCATAAATGTATTGAAAGACAACAACTTGGGTTAAGCCAAAAGATTCAGCAAAGATGAGACACTGACACACAATGTGTTTGTGACAATGTGATTCTGCCTCCATACATGTTTTGGTTTCTTGTTTTTTTTTTTGTTTGTTATTTTTACCAAGCTATGTGAGATTTGAATGAAGCAGGTTTGATATAAAATAAAGATGTAATGTAAGAAAAGTAGCTTTAACCTAACACTTAACCTTGGTTTCCATTGTCATTAGGCCTTTGTCACACAAGATATTTTGACTTGTCTTAGTAGCAAAAGTACAGGACTAATAATATTACTGACTCTGTTGTATAAACCAATTATTTAAGTTAATTTTATGATCTACACCTGTGTTTTTCCTACTGTGACATGTCAAATGCCGAAATGAAACAGGCATCTTTAAATTGTTGCAAAGAATCCTACTGAGTTACACACTGAATACGAGCATGTGCTTCCTGCATGTTGTCTCTCTGTTCACTAATGTACTGACAATGTTGCTCTTTGTTTTTATCTAGCTCTATCTGAGCTTACAAATTTCGCAACTCATCAAAATTCACCAAAATTGTTCACATGCTTTGTGGAATCAAAACAATGTCAGACATTGTCTCTTTATTTTAAAAATATTTTTAAAAGAACTGTATTGATGCATATTGTATAAGCAGCTGAAAGATTAATTTATGAAACAGTGTTCCTCTCCAAATTGCAACATCTTATTTTGCTCAGTTTATCATATGTCACTGTACTTAAATGTAAAATACTGTATTACAGAGTTAAAATGGAGATTGGTTGATTAACATGAAACCATTTCTCTTAATGTGAATTCACTCTATTGATGGTAAAGTTATGTAAGTAAAGAAGTTAATCATCATCTGTTTGTTTTCCTATAAAACTGTAAATCTATTAGGGCTTCATTCTCGCATAGGCCTTATTTGTCCAATTAATATGCAAATAAAGACACACCAAACCAAAGTGGTGTGAAAAATTTAAATGACTTGCACAATACTGAGATCTGTTGAGAAATAGTTTTGTTGTTTTTGATTCTTAATTATTTCACATGAAAAAAGGATGTACTTCAACCACTTTGTGCTGTAAAAAAAAAAGAAAAGAAAAGAAAAATAGATATTTTGGCCATTTTATGGAAGAGATTTATAGAAAAGAGAATAAAGTACAAAAAAAGTCTGTTTGGCTTAGTCCTGTGTTTCTGGCTCTGTCTGTTTCTCTTGGGATTCTGACTGTGCAATGTTGAACTCTGCTTCATACATGATCTGCTGGATCTTTATTTTTGTCTCGCACCTTTTCTGTGGAGCAAGTCGTTTCAGAGCGGGGACAAAGCTCAGCAGAAACAGTTCATCTTCATCCCGTGGCCTGGAGGGAAATGAGGTGCCATTGTCTTTGACCAGCCATTTTGTAGGGGATGTTGTACTTTGAGAAGAAGGTGGTGAAAGTGACTCTTGCATCAGGCGCCGTTTCCGTCCAGTTTTGCTGACAGGGGTGATCTGTGGGCTTGATGGCAACTTGGCCATAACAGCCAGCTGCGCCATCTGTGTGTCTTGAGACATTGAAGGAAGCTGTGTCACAAATGCTACTTGAGGTTTGAGGTCAGGTTGACTTACAGGGGCCTTCATGATGGACTGTGGCGTTTTGACTGCCTCAGACGATGCAGTTTCTCCCTCCGCACTGCCAGATTCATTGTCAGGATTGTCGTGGTCTTCATCATTGTTGCCACAGATGTCTGCCACCCCACTTCTTGATCCAGTGAAGGGTGCGATAAAATTCATAAGTTGTCTGTATTTCCATCTACTCTGTACGATCTCCCCTTGCTTCTTGCTTTTGATCTCCATTCGGACTTCCTTCAAGTACCGGTCTCTCATGTTCTTCCATTTTCTTTTACACTCCTCAGCTAGAAAGTAAAATATCAGAGTGTAAGAAGCAAGAAATCACATGATTCTCCTGATTATTAGCAAGGAGTGAAGAAAAATTATATTAACAAAGACAAAGCTACCTGGACTCAAGTGTCTAATATAGATGCAATTTACGATTATGTTAATTATTGGTTCAATTATTTTCTCTCCCTCCCTTAATGGATTAATGGCTTCCTGTATAAAATATAATAAAACTGTCAAAAATGCCAAATGAAATTACATTATTGCCTTAAGCCAAAGGCAACATCTTCAGATTGCTTGTTTTGATGGTCCAAAACTCAACTATATTCTACTTACTTTACAATAAGTTGGAAAAAAATACAGAAAAACCTCAAAACTAAGACATTGGAACAGAGGAATGTTTTAGGTTTTGCCTTGAAAATGACTTATTTAAAATGATTAACTGCTTATCTAAATAGCTGCAAATTAATTTTCCATCCACAAATTAATCAACTTCTCATTTCAGCTCTAGTGTTGATTACACTATATGTTTATTTGGTTTTAGACTGCAAACAATACACTTAGTGAAATCATACCGTTGAAATAACACCTCTTGGACAGTTTTAACAAAAACTGAAAAATAATCTTTGTTACATTAAATAGTACATGTACCTAATAAAATGGGCAGGGAGTGAACAGCCTGATGTATTTCCAGTGTAAACTATAAGGGGGTATTAAAATATAGCAAAACTTTCTTTTTCCAAGTAAAAAAGGCTTCAATATGAGACTATAAAGTTACACAGAGATAGGCTGAAGGTTATTCTGCTTATTTTTCTTTATATTGGTGTTGATGCGCCGTGTCTGAAGGTCACGGTTAGTTCAGCCGTGTTTTATGCGCCTCCATCATTGACCTGGGTTCGTGCACCTGATTACATTTCAGACTAAGGGCCTCCGTGTCCTGGCTCTGACACATTTTATCCAACACACCGTGGTGTCGCCGCCGCTTCCACGAGACTTCGAGAAGCTTTCAGTTTGTATGGACTTCGCCGTGTTAAGGAGCGTGACGAAGGCACGCGGCTGGGTAAACAGCGATTCCGCGGCGCTCAGAGCATATTTGCTCCTCCGCCGTGCCGTGTTGGACACGCGGCTGGCGGCGCAGTAGTATGGAGTAGCAGAGCTGGACCATGCCGTACGGTGCAGCGCGGCCTAGGCGTGCGAGCTGCGGCTACCGCTAGCACGGTACGCGCGGTTGCAGTCACACCACCGGGCTGCACTCGCGCGGATAAAAAAAAAATATTAAAAAAAACTACAAACTGCCCGGAAGAGACACGTGAAACACCCCTATCTGCTAGTTACACGTGTGTTTTCTAATTTATTTATGTTTAGTCGTCCACGCCAATATCAGATCAGCAAATAATAACTGACAGTAAAGTTATGATTAACAAATAAAACAACCCAATACTCACATGGGAAACCCAGTAGGATGCTGATGTTTCTCCAGGCATTTGCCCGACTTTCCGTGCAGCGGTAATTCGGCAAAGTGACATTGTACAGCTCTGGGAAATTAAATACGGCCAATATTAACTTATCGTCCATTTTGCCCTACCGTTGTGTCTGTGCTGCGCGGACGCGGAAGCGGCAGTCTTCTCCCGCCTTTTCCGCCCAGCTGCTGCTTCAACGCAACGCGAGTTATCGCGAGTGGCGAGCTGTCTGCCGCGCTGTGTCGCTCTGCCGTTCACCGGTGGCCATTGTAGTCTTTTGTCACAGGGGGGCGCACGACATGTGTACTGGCCTCCATTACCGCTCTGCTCTACAGTGGGAGAAAAAAAGAAATTACAATTAACATTTTGTTATTATTCAATTCTAGATTTAAATGTAATCTAAATGTAAAAGTTATTCTGAAATAGCGGTTTGGACTAATACTTTTATTATTGTTAATATTACCTTAATGTTGACATTGTCATTAAAACACACAATAACAATACCAAACTGAGTGTAAAACAAAATCTATAAATGACAAAATCAAAAAGTAAACCAAGAACAAATACACTCTGAGAATGAAAGGAGACAGTTCTACATTGGACGAGTGGGAAAATGAATAGCAGCGGGATCAAAGTAACCCAACCATCTGGTCAGCTGTGGATGAACCAAACACCATTGACGCAGCATGAGCAACCCAACAATGTGTTTTAAACAACCCAGCATTTTTTAGTGTAATATAAATGATTGATTATTATATTTAACTGTAACAAAAGCTGTTGAAAAAACAGGGCCTAGAAAAGTGGATTGAGTCAATATGTATTGGCACATGGGAATGATTTGTCTTTCTCCTTACTGCTGAGAATACTATAGTTCAATTTCGGTAACATAAACCCATATAAATAAAAAAACATATGGTCACAGTGAGTTCATACCACCTCAGTTCAGAAAACCTGCAGGGTGATGTTGAAGCAAGACAGATCCAGAGCTCATTTTAAGATTTCATGGAAAAGATATTAGGAAAGAAGAGAAACATGTTTGTGTTTGTGTAGCTGCTGAATCCACAGAATGGTTTTGTCAATTCCTCTCCACTCCCCAGGGTTTTGCTATCTGGCAAGTGTTTTCTGAACCTTCAACAGTTACTGTGTTTCCCTGCATAAGTCTGAAAACCCCATAGAGGAAGGTTGATTCACTGCATTTCCTGGTCACACCGCTGCAATCTCCAATTTCCCAGGAGGTTTTGGGCTCTGGTCCAGCAGTAAGCAGAGACACTGAGCGTTTTTACATGTGAATAGCCTCATGCCTCATGCCAGGGTTCTCTGCTCATTTACCAAATCGTCAGTGTCTGGGTACATTTTATAATCCTGTGTCTACTATTTGATTTATGCTGATTTGATTTGTGTACTTTATTATTCATATATCCCACTGACCTGCTATTTGAGTTGCTGATATATCTGATATCAAAACATAACCTAGTGGGCATATTAGTTACTGATTATTATACTGAAAAGAATCTCACACGGCAGCACCATCAGAACAATTGCGTGATAACCATGTCATATTCTCCAGAGATAACTGTCTTCAACACTCAGCATCACAACACAATGAGACAGAAACGTAATTGCAATTTCTTTTTCAGCCTCGTCCTGGTGTGGATCATGCTTTTGTGTCGGTATATCGGAACTGGTGTTTGGCTGACTTTTGTTTCTGTGAGAGAGTAAATTAAATTAGTTGCCAAGTATTGTAAGTTTTTATTTTTATATCACTTCAGCGTGTTGTTTTTGAAGTATAGTCGTGGACATCATAAAATCATGTGGTGATGAATAGAACCATTTCTGGTGCACCACTACTGTTGATAATGTTTGCGGGTGAAAACCAAATTAATTGAAGAGAGCAGCCCAAGCAGCTCCTCAAAAATCCAGAAAACTGTAACAACCATGGGGCGCCGGTGCTTTCCTTTGCTTTACTTCTTGTACCAAATATTGCTTTTACAACAACAAAATGAACCTTTATCATTCTAATCCCCAGTAATGAATTTTGAACTGTTTGAACCAACGTGGATGTGGCACAATTCCTTCTTTTGAGAACCACAATAACTGCAGATAATGATCTCACATGCTCCTCAAACTATATGTCAACAATCTGGACGCTATTAAACCCAGGTGAAAAGGATGGGATGGTGTTTATTGTTATCTGTTTTCAAAAGCCCTTATAAGAGGAGCTTAAGACAGATTGTAGAAATCCATTAATTCGTGTATTGCCTTGTATGAAATCACAGGATTTGTTGGGGGGGGGATGAATTTAACCTGTAATAGCTTTACCTCAGCTGTGCACATTGTCAGAGAAGTCTGACTGAAAAGACTGCACCGTACAGATAATACACACGATGCATGATTGTGAATACAGATCACATGGAGGGACGCCTTCTCTTTTCTGGATTTACCCTTGCCGTTTGTGCTCATCTGTATTGAGTAGTACATACAAATCTATTAGTGTCACCACACACACCACTGGCAAAATGAGTCATTCATTCATCTGCAACTCCCTAATTATTGGGTGTAATTAGTATGCGTTGTTATTGTTGTCAGTGGAGCCTCAACTTGTGTAATTTACTGAACATGTCTACAAATTTGCACAAGATCATTTGCTGATAAAGCTAAATAGGAAACTGACATTATGAAATAAATTTAGGAGCTAATCCTCAAGTTCAGCATACACAAGTCTTTGGCCACACCAAAAACGTTCATCTTTAAATCCAGGTTTCTAATACCAAGCAATCCCCTTTTCTCTAAAACCTCAACAATAAGGATCTTAGGAGCTCTCCACTTCTCATTTTATGCAGTGAAATCTGATTTCTTTTGGAGAAAGGAATGAGGCAAGATTAACTGAATCTGCCGTCCTCCCTAACCTCTTCACAAAACTGCCCAGATTAGCTAGGAATTAAGTTTCAACCGTTTTATGTGTCTGGTCCATAGGGGGGATTATAGTTTTACTATTTTTTTGCCTCCCAATTTCACTATAAGGGTCTGACACACTGTTGTAGAGAGAGGAGAAGTAGAAGAGCAGCTGAGCCTGAGCAATCGAAAAGTGCTGTGTGTCAATATCCTGTGATCATCGTTCCTTGTGTTATATTGGAATTTCTTTGGAGATGGATGGACTGATAAGGATGGAGAGACAAAAGTTTCCTTTCACTATTGAAAACATATTGAGCAAATATCCAAACAGTAATGGAGACAGACGGACATGTGAGACAAGTGGTGCTGGACTACAAGAGAAGAGTCCTGTTGGAGACCAGACAGAGACTGTTCATCATGCCTGTGTATGCTGCTGCTACTGCTCCCACTGTGGAGACATATTCAGAGCTGATTTCATTCATGAAGGTAAGACCAAACAGTCAGCTCTGTTGGCAGCTCTGTTGGTTTTGTCATCAGTATCACTTATTCTCCTTAACCTCAAATCAGACTTCCCCCCTGCAGCCTGTCAGTATGGATGGCCCCCAGCGATGCTCTCAAACTCATGTAGGCTGGGAGAGGCTCACAGAGAGGAGCAGTCACCCGGTCAGGTGCAGAGACGGACCAGACGTCACCGCACTATCTTCACAGAGGAGCAGCTGGACGCACTGGAGGAGCTGTTTCTGCAGAACCAGTATCCAGATGTGAACACAAGGGAGAAATTGGCACAGCGCACTCACTTAAGAGAAGAAAGAGTAGAGGTAAGAGTGCTGTCACATTCAGCCTTTCAGGTCACTCCATGTCAAAGATAAGGTTGTTGTGGCACTGTCTCAGATTTTGTTCAAACCTTTTCTATATCATGAATAAGTCCCAAAACCAAGGCCTGTAAAAATGTTTCTGTTCAAATTCTATGTTTTTAAATTTTTCCAGGCCTTCATATTATTTTATTATTTTGTATAAACTCTGGCAAGCCATGTTTGGGCATTAATATCTTGACAGGTTTTTCTCCCAGCCTCACCAAACTTCGTAGCATGGAAGACAAACATGTTTTTGTATTCCAAAACATTTGAAAGCATGTACTGCATGTCATTTTATCTTTATAAGGCCCTAGATTGAGAAAAAAGTGCAAAATTCGTCAACGCGAGTGAGATTTAGGGTACTACAAATCCATATTTTTGCACCGATATGATATTGATCATTATTTTTTCTGCAAATACAATCTTTTATTAATTTTGTTCCAATTTTTGAGGTTTCTATCTCCAATCGACATGAAGATATTATGACGAAAACAAGATGTGGTAGCATATTTTGGTTAGTTTGATAGGACCAAGATAGTATGTGTGGTACCTAGTAGGATCATTTACAGGCCTTAGTTTTGGCTTTGAGCCAAATCTAAGATAGTGCTGATGTGCTGAATTGACATGGAATGACTCAATAATCAATAAACAATAGCGCTGTTTACACAGTAAAATAAGGTTTAGTAAGCCACAAACTGCTGAATGTGAATGAGGAGTAACGAATGTATGAAATTTTAAATACTGTATTTTAAAAAGGATATAATAGCACTGGATTTTGTCAATTTGCTGTTTTTTATTAAATGTCTGTGTTGGTTATTATGTTTGATAATGGTGAATAAGTTGTCAAATATTGTAAGTACAGTATGTGAAAAACTGAAAAAAATAAATTACAACTACCTTTTCTGCTAGGTTTGGTTTAAAAACCGAAGAGCAAAGTGGAGACGTCAGAAAAGACTATCATTTGGTGTGGGAAACACAGAAAACTAAATTTTGTACTGGATATATGGAAGACAGCACTGAAAAGGAGGAAGTGTGTGTGTGTGTGTGTGTGTGTGTGTGTGTGTGTGTGTGTGTGTGTGTGTGTGTGGGAGAGTCACATGCAAGGAATTTTGCTTGCTATTGTTATCAAATATAATAGCCAGAAAAAAATCTTTGTTTTTCCACAAAATAAACAGACATGGAGCTTTTTGTGTCAGTCAAATCATGTGACTGTAGACAGTTTTGTAACCTATTTGTGAAGCTGGTTGGTTGAGTATGATAGAAGTACTGGCAGCATATACTAACACTAATCCTGAAAAGTAAACCTCGAGTCTGTAAATGGATTGTTCTAGTTTGCACCAGTTGTGGAAAAAGTGCCCTTGATAACAAATAAAGTTCTTTTGACATAGATGGAGGAACTTCATTTTTACACAATCCATCATTGCAATTGCAATTCATCAATAAAACATCATACCAATTTAACACATGACATGCAGTGAACACTTCAAATTATAATTGAAATATTTTACTCTGTTTTTTCAGCTTTGGGTCTGTGTTCAGGAAAGAACATGTGGAAATTGTCCAGCAACTGAGCTCTCCATATCAATCAGTCAATTCACTAACCAGCTGTTAGTCAGTTTAGGTATCAGGAACCCCCCTGTGGCTCAGGCATTACAATATTGTATATAGCATTTATTCTGTAGGTGGGAAGATAACAGAAGTCAGAGTGACTCCTCTCCTCTAAAGGGTCTTTCCTGCACACTCAGCATGTTAAGTAATGGTGACAGTGGACTAATCAGCAATGACGTAATTTTTGTTGTCTAAACAAGCAATGTAATTACGGTACAATTGGTAGCCTATAAATTCATTATATCTGTCACGTTAAATATAACAAGACGTTTTTGGGGGGCTGTAATTTCAGATGCATGTTTTTGTCAAGCAAGTAGATCTTACCTAACAACACTAATGCACATTCTACAAACAGATATTAATTACACTGATCACAAAACACAATGTCTTATCTTTAAGTTATAACAAGAGTTACAATAGTGTGCCGCAGGGATCAACTTGGAAGTTAGCATCACCTTCTTCACAAATCTTCACTAATGAACCACCACTTTAATAATTTTTGAAGTCTAAATACAACCACCAGTCGTAAAGAAAAAAACTAATAATGTGTTCACCACAAACCTTATTTTAGTCACCACTCCAAAAGCCCATTAAAAAACACCCGGAAGTGCTAAAATGCTAACTAATTTCGGGGGTGTAGGTCTAATTCCTGCGGCACTCTTTTGGTATGCTGAATTAAGCACTATATTCCAATTTTCAAAATGAGAAATGACAACAAACTGTTTTTACGTATCAAGTGAAGCTTATAAACACAAATGCTGGAAGTTTCCTGAGCGTCCATAAACTTCCTGTGACGTAACATTTCAGACTGTACGGAAATACGTCGTTCGTACGCCGCAGCGGTGTGTTGCCCAAAACTTAGCTAACGCGTTACAGCTGGTCTCGTTCGCAGCTATTCCTATCTACGGTGTCTACGATACTATTTACATTTTTTAAATGGTGCTCTTCAAGTAGAAAAGCCACCTTGCGTTTCCATCCAGTCGACGTTTGTGGTTGAACGATCGCCGTTAGCCGATTCACAATGGAGGGCAGCGCTAGCGTGAGGAAAGCGCTGTCCGGGACCCTCGTTCCTTCAACGGTAACAACAGTGGCTCTCCGGCAGCAACCCGAGGAGACAGAGCACGGGGCACTGAACAGAAAGGTCCTGGATGAAGAGGAATACATTGAGGTAGTTAAGCTATAGACAACCATGTGTCGTTTTATGTGTCAGTACTGTGGTATTGTGGTATTTTATGGTTTGATATTATTGGGAAGTTTGTTATGGAGGTATTGGTTTAATTAATAATTAAGTCGATTTATAGAAAAAACAGGCGACAGTATTGATAATCTAATACTCAGTTTGATAAATTGCTAAACAAAAAAGGCAAAAGCACCCTGGTAACAGCTTTTCATATGTGATGAATTGTGCAGCTTTTTCTCTTTTTATATCATTGTTAATTAATTGTCTCTGAGTTTTGAACTGTTGGTCAGTACAAAGAGCAATTATATGACGTTTTATTGGGATGTGGGCATCTTTATATCTATTCTGACATTTCACAGACTGAAAGATTAATCATAATCATCATAATCAGCAGATGAATTGTTTATTGAAATGATAGTGCAGCCTTACCATCCTTTTTTGTTTTGAGCACTAGTAAGAAATAAGAAATTTTTCTGTATATCAGAGTGAAAGTGAGAGAAATACAGGTCAGTTCTATAACTGTTTGTTGTTGTTGTTGTTGTTGTGGTGTAGTATGTCATTATCCTCTTTTTTTCAAAGTCAAATGTACCTTCCTGTGTACTTCCAACAGAGTTTAGAGAAGATCATACAGAGGGATTTCTTCCCAGATGTGACAAAATTACAAGCGCAGAAGGATTACCTGGAAGCAGAGGAAAATGGAGACCTGGAACGAATGAGAGAGATATCCATCCGATATGGATCATCATTGACAAAATCTACCCCACGATCTTCTGCACCCTGTGAGTATTATTAGAAAGTGAATTTAGACCCTGTATTTCCATGTTTTTCTCCTTCTCTTAGAGAGAGAAAGAATAGCTTTTGTTTGTTTTGCTGCTCCATGAAAATGACAATTTTTCTCCTTTTGTCCTCTTCGTGTGTAAGATGTTACTCCAGCTAGCTTTGAGACACCAGTGGGCCGCACGGGGTCTCCCTCCTCTACTCATGGCAATAAATGTTTAGATACGGGTAAGTATTTCATGTTTTAATTTGAAGTTCAGATAATTTAAGAGACTGTTCTGAGCTTTGTGTTTACATGAACCCACAGATCTGTATCCCACTTTAAACTCCCTTTTTTCCATCTTACATAAATCATTTCCCATGCTGTGTATCATTCTCTTCTTCATTTGGTCCTATCAGTGGACATATTTGGCAGTAATACTGTTACAAATGGACTTAGAGAAGGAACAGTAATTTAACCCTGTATCTATCTATGTTTTATTTATAGAGAGCAAAGATGATGACAAGGAGGAGAAAGAGCTGCCCTCTCTGGATCGTTTCCTTGCTAAAAATACCAGTGAGGATAATGCATCATTTGAACAGATAATGGATCTGGCAAAAGACAAGGAGAAACTGAAGCATGCCTGGTTATATGAGGCCGAGGCTGAATTCAAACAGGTACGCATGTGCAGGTTTTACTTGAATTCAAAGCATATGAAATATGATTTCTTACATTACAAGTGTTCTGATCATAGATTGATTTTGAGTAAATTGTCTGTGACCAAATTGTTGATTAGCAGAACTTATTGAATAGCTTATTACTGAAATACTTAAATCAAACAATCACCACCCAAAAACCTCAAATGTGGCTCTGAAAAGTTTGTAGCTTGTTCCTGCACGAAAACTGCATCCCTGACGGGTATGAGGGTTTCATGGCTTAGTTTTCAGTCGCAGTTGATCACTGTCAGACAGATGATTATTTTGCACACCCCAAGACTACAGTGAAAACATTCATAAACACTGATATTTTTCAGCGCCATGAGGAGAACCTAGCTTTACCATCGATGGAGAAGGCAGCACTTGAATGTGTCAAAGCTGGATTGGAGACATGGGAATACAAAGCAAAGAATGCCTTGATGTATTATCCAGAGGGTAAGATCATTTTTTAAAAACATGAATCCTCAATATTGATCACATTTAGCTGTGAAAAAAAATTTAATGTAATGTGCTTTTCACATTTTTCCAATTAAGGTGTTAAAGACGATGATGCTGTCTTTAAGAAGCCAAGGGAGGTGGTTCACAAGAATACACGCTTTGTTGGGGACCCATTCAGCAAAGCTCTAAACAAAAGCCAGATTCAACAGGCTGCAGCTCTAAATGCACAGGTAATAAATAAAGCATGATGTTGCATTAGGGTAATTTTGTTTTTGCCTGAATGTGCTCCATACTCTTGATTGAAGTGTTTCTGCATGGCAGTCTATTCTTCAGTTGAATAAATGAATGAATGATACAGCTGATGTATAACCTTTTTTTTTTTATTTGTCCAGTTCAAACAGGGTAAAGTAGGCCCCGATGGGAAAGAGCTCATCCCCCATGAATCCCCGACAGTGAATGGATATGGTTTTGAAAGAACACCTTCCCCTGCACCTGGTAAGTTGGTTTTACAGTCCTCCTCCACATAGATGACAGATGACAATAAATGTTGCCTTGAATGGCTGATTCAACGCGGCGTAGTTTTCTGAAAGCTGTTTTTGTCTCCTAAGGTGTATCTGAGTCACCTCTGATGACCTGGGGTGAGATCGAGAGTACCCCATTTCGTCTGGATGGATCAGACACCCCATATGTTGAGAGGAATCACGGTCCATCATTTAAGGTACTGAACATTAAGTGGTAGCTGCAAGGCTTTGTTAATCACATTTTTTTTTTTTATTATTTGTTAAGTTGTAAAATATGGACACTTCATATTGTTTCAAAAAGATTCCAGAACCGGGACGACGAGAGAGGCTGGGTTTAAAGATGGCCAATGAAGCTGCAGCTAAAAACCGTGCAAAGAAACAGGAGGCATTGCGAAAGGTCACAGAGAACCTTGCAAGGTAAAGACATTTTTGACTTTGTACACTCTTTATTTTATCTGCTTCTTCAGGTAACAACACTTCACCGCATCTGTCAGACTCCTTTCTATCAGAGGGAAAGTTCAGCTGAAATTTTAAACAATGTATTTAACACCACTAGTCTTCCACTGTATTTGTTAGTGCAATCTTGAAGAAATTATTGCAGTCACAAACTAACTGAGCACCTCATCCTTTGTCTTGCAGTCTTACGCCTAAAGGTCTGAGCCCAGCCCTCACCCCAGCCCTGCAGAGGCTTGTAAATCGGACATCTAGCAAATACACGGACAAAGCACTAAGAGCAAGTTACACCCCATCTCCCTCACACAGAGTCGTCGGCTGCAAGTCTCCCTTCGGTGGCCCATCCACTCCGTCAGGAACACCAACACCAAACAAAGCCAAGACCCCAAGCTCTCAGGACCTTACGTCACTCACGGACAATCTGCTGCAACTTCCCAAGAGACGGAAAGCCTCAGACTTTTTCTAAGCAAGAGAAGCTGCGCTCTGCTGGGATTGTACAAAATAGACTCATCATAACGTGGATAACTTCACTATAAGATCTCCAGACCCTGTTTTCTCAGATTAAAGAGCACAACTTCCAGCTGGGTGACTGGATAAAGAAATGTACAGTGGACTGAAGAATTTTTGAGGGTTTATTTGTTACTATTTTGCGCAGATGGGTTAATGTAGATCCCGGTGAAATATAGTGTCCAAATTCTATGTAATTATTTGTTTCTTATTTTTTATATTTTGTTTCATAGATTTACATACAGTTGTTTCCAGTTAAACTTCTGCTATCCTTGCCACATACCCATGCTTAACTGATTTTTAATATGATTATAACCCAGTAATTGTCACAGAGGATCACACATACAAATTACATTTTAACTCACTCAACATGTAGCCATGACATTTCAGTGTGTGTCTCTGCATCATAGAAATTGCTCAGAAGTACATGTTGTGTTACATTAAAACCGGTTTCCCCATCGTAAAATTTTTGTGTTGGTGTTAGAAATAAAAAAAAAAAAAAAAAAAAAAAACCCAACAGGGCTTCAGTTAGACAACTCACTGATTATCAGTGTAAATGATGAATGTGTCTTTTTACCCCTTCATGTTATTTTTTGGGGCATATTTGTCTTTTTTGCGATAGTCACAGTGAGAGATAGACAGGAAAGCTAATGAGAGAGAGAGAGGGGATGACCTACATCTTTTTAATTTAAAGTTGAAAAATTTACAGGCAAAGCCTGGTTAGCATTATAAAACTTTACAATCTTTTTCTTAATATCTATAATTAAATTGGACATATTTGACTAAGAATTGTCTGCAAAAGAATATACTAAATGTTTCACCTGATGACATCCTCGTCAATAGTTCTGTTCCACCTCCTGCTGGTGGTGGAACAGAACTGTGAATAATAACTTTATACCTCTCTTCTTTTTCTCACGCAAGCTTGTAAAAGTAAAAAAAATGTAAAGTCATACTGCTCTGTGTTTGAGGTACAGCCAGAAATACCCCAACATGTACTCGATCTGTTTTTTTGGAACATTAGAGGTTACAGGGTACCCTAACTCCAAAAGGTCAAATCTTTTTTATCAAATGAGGTTTCTCTGTTATGTGGTGAAGTCACATCTCTTGTTAAGTCAGTCTTAAAACAGAACTTGTAAGCGCATATGTACAGTGAAAGAATTACTGGTCAAATTATGACAATGAAGCTTCGTGCAACACCAGTGTAAGAGTTGGGGGATAAACTGTACAGTGCTCTTGTGAAAAAATGTATTTCAAACCTCAGCGGAGGCTAATATGAGGCTTCAGCAGTCTGAGTCAAGTGGGTATCATCTGACAGTACAGGCTTTTTAGCACTAAATTCCCTCTCTGTGTTTCCCCAGATGGTGTTTCCTTGCCGAGCTGCACTCAGACAGCTAAAGCTTTATATTAACTTCAGCTGAACTTTAGAGTGTACTTTTTGTACACAAGGACTATAGATGTTGTCCATATTGGCATATGAGTATTGTTTTAAGGCAGAAAAAAACTCATCCTTTTAAAAGACTCAAAGCCAGTTTCAAAGCTGTGTAAGAATGAAAATTTAACGGCACTGTCAGATTATTGACAAATGGTGGGGATGAATATGTGTATCATTATTGTGAAACGTTTCTCCATTAATATGTTTACGCAAGAGCTGTCAGCCTGTAGACTTGTCACAGCAGCTGAAGCACCCTGGATATGATGCCAATATATCTGTGGTGAATTAGTGAGCCAATGAGGAAGGTTTAAATGCTACTGCGTTAGACTGTAATAGAAGTTATAAACTGCATTTGTAGGATTTATACAAGTAGGAGATGAGGTCCAGTGGTTGTATGAATTGGGACACTGCACAGAAATCATGTGCACATTGTTGTTGTACATTTAGTCCCAAAATCTGCTGTTCAAGACATTTATATGTCTTTTCCAGTATGATTAGAAAAGCAGGCTGTAAAGTTTCCTCACTGACTCACCCATTATGATAATTGCAGTCTGAGAGTTTGACCCATGGGCAGTCTCACAAGGTCAAACAGGTCAGACTGTCTCAAAAAGGGAAGAAAAGACATAAATATAGAGCTAATTATATAGTGGCCTATTAGTAGAAATGCACATTTATGCCTTTTTATTACAAAGGTTTCTCAATTATCCCAAATGGAAAAGGCTGAATCTAGTTTGATGCCTGCTTCAAGTTGTATTGGTTTTTGAGTGATGAATGACATAGGGTCACGTAATATAATAAACTGCGTCAGCCATCAGCGTGTATCCGCTACGTACAACCAGTGACATTATCTTGTGTTGGATTTATCACATAATCGGGTACACATACACATTGGTAATCATGTGTCACCCGGGGTTTAATCTGACTAACTCCGCCCCTGGCAGCTCCTCCAGCTGATAGCCTGTGTGCTGCATGTTTGGGATTGTTGTGATGAAAGGCCGCAGCCATCTTGGATCAGCGCCGCTCCACACCGAGCAGCGGGGGGAGAGGACGGACGGACGACGTTAACTGTAGAGCCAGTTAGCTAACGTTAGCTGCTCGGCCAGATTAACCACAATCTGTTTCCCTGTGCGACGCGACTATGTTTGACTTTTGTTTTTTTTCTTCGTTAGCTGCCGTTTTGAATGCATAAGAAATGGGTATAAACTGTGTAAAGCGTTTAACGTTATAAGTCCAAAGAGGGCGGCGGCGGCGGTGCAGATCCTCGGTATATTTTTTAAATTTCTGGATAGAGGAGTTACTATGAATGGAGGATAAATGTTGCCTAAGGCTGACAGCAGCAGTTTCGTCCTCTTCTCTCTTCTCTTCGTCCTCACGTTAACGGACCCACCCCGGACAGGTAAATAAATCCAAGTTGTGTTTTTCCTTTGCTTACATTACCGCGGGCTGGTCAGGGAAGTGGGAGAAACAGGGATTACAGCTGGAAGCATAGAGCAGCGGGTCAGGCGGTGAGGCCTCCTTTATAAACCACGTACTCTGATGGTTTTACAACCGCTGCTGTGCTACTGCTGCTGGCGCCGGGAAGTGTGGACGACCGCCTTGCTAGTCGGCGCTGAAGCAGTAAATTGTAATAAAAATAGGCCAACTAAAACCACCAGTTGGCAATCTTTATTCAACAAACACTTTACGATTTAACTGCACAGTCCACACAGCCACTTCATTTTCAGAAAAATCTCTTAACGCCATTCATGTTTTTCCAAATACAGACCTTTGCTTCTCTTAAATAATTGGATAGCTTTGACACTTCTTAATACAGCTGTATTGGGGAATTATGCTGAAATACTTATTTCGACTTATAAAAGGTGGGTATCTTCTCCAAAAAGGTCTGTTTACCCTCCACTACATCCCTCGGTTAGTCACTGCTTCAGCCGTGAATCTGTAATTTGAAATGCATGTCAGAGACTCGGCTCCTGCATCACTAAAACTGGCTGTCTTTTACTCAACCTGTAGCTACACAGTTAAACATATCAAACTGATAAACTACACAATAATGTTACTGTCATGACACTGTCTGAGGATTTTTTGGACTATGTTTATGTAACTTCTAAACTGATAAATCGAGATTATTTTTTTTTGTATCTCAGGATAAAAATGTGTCACAAGTGCAAAGGTACTGGAAACACAACTGATGACTTACTAGAACAACAGAAAATCCCTAGTAAGTAAACAAATAGTGCACATATCTGTTAAAATAATCTAACTACGAATACAATACTGCCGCACTAAAGTTCTCTTCAGGTATCACAATTGTCACAAAAGGCCAGTGATTTATGAACCAAAAAATCAAATGATTTTTAGGTCACTTGTCTCAGTTGTTTTGCTTTGAATGCAGACACTTGAATAGCGCTCCAGATACATTTAAGCAACAAGGGGACAAATGCATCTTGTGGTCTCTAGGTCTAGTCTTGTGATCCTGACAGTTGTGTAGATTAGATAAACTGTTATCAGTCCAACTCATGGATAAATGTATTGTTTGGCTCAATCTAAAGGAGCAATCGCTTGCCAAGAAAATGCATTACACTCACCACCACTGCATGCCCCTTATTTTTTATTTTTGTAGAGGTTTGGTTCCTGGGTGTACATTAAGTCCATATTAGGAGGCTCTTTGTGGTTCATTTGAGTGTTTTCAACTGTAATTATTCATTTTTGTCAAAGGCAAATTCAGTGTTTGCGCTAACGTTCAAGAGTGAACATAAGACCTTTTTGTTTATAGAACTTGAGTGACTAATCTGAAAGTGAAGGGTGCTGTCTGTGTTGGCTGGCCTTCTCTTAGTGCGTTTTGAAACCACTGCTTGTTTGGGTGATGCTGTGGCCTTCATGCTGGGGATCCTGCAGGGGACTACCTGTTTTCTTGCACATGTTTTTTCAGGGAGGGTGTGTGTTTGTAGAGCATGCTGGTGCACATAAAGTGCTGGTTTTCCAAATCTTGATGCCCAAATGGGTAGGACATTCAGCAAAAGAATAATCCTGCTTTTTTTAAAAAACATAATTCAATAAAAATGTTTGAGCAGCTGTGATCATTAAAACACTGATCCTGTCATGCAGGTTTGCTTGAGCCATCTTACAGTTTTTTACAGAATCAGACTTCAGACCGTCTCTATGAGTCTCGAGGCACTCACGACCCACCAGTCTGCACTTGATTTACCTGGTTTCCACAGCAGGTTTTAGAAGCAAGCTAGGCCGCTCTGAAAGGTTAAGGTTTTATTCAGTTATACTTGAGTTGCTTGACAGTGTGTATAATTGTCATATTTCTAAATGGCTTTTAAAAATTTGTAATAAGCCTTCAGTCCTATACAACCAGTGCTTGTGAGCGTGGCAACATTGAAATATAGAAATTTTTGTAGTTCTCTACATCCTAGGGAGAATGACGAATGCTGAATGTGCTTTTAATTTAATATATGATCAGAACCATTTCAGTGACCAAGTCAGCTTGTCATGTAAATATTGTGACCCACAGATTGCCCATGTATGTATGTGTGATACACATAACTCTGTACAATATGAAAAAGTATAAGACAAATGTGAAAACCGAAACAGATATGATCATATATACATGACAGGGTAGTTGTCTTTGTGGGTAGTGCATGAGTATGTCCGGTGGTTGCTTCAGTTTATTCTCATGATACAAAGACACAGATGTCAGGTGGATTGTTGACCTAAAATTCAGGTGTATAGGCCGCTCTTGCAGCCTGGGTTACAATGAACTACATCAATGCAGATTGTAAATAAGTTTGTAGAGACTCAACACAGCCAACAATGGCAAACATATTTAAAAAAAAAAAAAAAAAAAAAAATCACAGATCCAGACAAAGTTAGCACATAGTGTGAACATGCCCAAAATTTACAAAGACTGAAATCTTCCCATATCATCAATTTGAGCAACAAATCAACTGAACTTTGTTTATTGTCAGTGGGGCTGAGCAACCTGTCTGTGTTACACTGGCAGCTGGTTTATCACTGTTTGTTCTGCACAAAAAAAGTTGGCCGTAGCTTATCTTTTGTCAGGCATCATGTGCCAACAACAGTCAGATGTTTTTGTTCACCTGATACTCCACTGACGAGACTGAAGTTACAGTTAACAACCTGCAGTGACCCAAATGGAGAAGACGGCCACAAATTCTTATGCTGATTACAGTGATTTTTGAAAGACTACTTAAGTTAATGTTTAGCTGACTAATTGTTGATGTCATGGTAAGTGATACATTTGACCCAAATATAAAGGTAGATTATGGTGTCTCTGTGATTGTTCTGTTAAATTAGTGGGTTTTCATAAAATCATATTTGTTACAGTCTGTTTATGCCGTATGTAGTTTTCAACCTTGGTCATTTATGCCTATCTTATGTATCTTATGTAGTCTTTATAAAGACACAGTATCTCTTTTTGAATTGTAAGCAGTAGTTTAGCTAAACACAACCTAGTGAGCAGTTGTCTGCACATAATTCCCTGTCAGATATGCTCAATGATTGTGTGGCTTATTTGTTTGAAATGGGAGAAAATGTGACCTAACAAAAATAAGCATTCTTAATATTGAAAACTAAATATTTAATACTTGTTTTAATTAAAAGTTGTAAAATTAATATACTGCCAAGTACAGTACCTTGAGTTGTTTTTTTTTTTGTTTGTTAATTTTATCGACCTCTATCAGCAATTAGAAGTAACAAGAACACAGATTATTTCCTGCTGCCAGAGTATGTCACACAGCCCTGACCTTCTACTTTTACAACTGTTGTCCTGTATTGTCGAGCAGTGGAAAGTGCATGTGGAGGACATGAAAATGTTGAGGAAAATGTCAAGAGAGGACGCTGCCAGTGCCATGGGGCAGACAGATTTCACTCAGTGACAATGCATTTCAAAGCTTAGAGTCTTGTACCTGATATCCCACCAACCCCCTGCAGATAGATTTTAGATATTTTATGATCTAGGACAGTGAAGATCATGGTTGTTGCCCCTGGAACACACTACATGTTTAAATTAATTTGTAAATTACCAGTATTAACTTTTTTTTCTTCTAATATAGTGAACCTAAGTGGTACAGCTCTACTTAAGAGCAGCTCTGTTTACCATTTTAAGTATTGACTGTGTCACATCAGTTCTACCATGAAAAAGTTTTAACACAGGAAAAACAAAAATATGCGGTTAACTTCTTGGTCAATAACATCTTTCTTGTTTCGCAAATTAAACGGCTTGGTTTTTAAAGGAATTTGACCTGCACGGCCTTTATCCACACAGAGCAGAGAGAATATATTGGTTTTAAATGTGAGTTGGTATAATGAAATGGACTTGAATGCCTGTACCCACTCACTGCTTTTAACAGCGAGCCTCAGAGCTGATGTGAATCATCAGTGGCTGGAGATGATACAGTGTGCGCACAAGGCCAGTTCACTGTGCCGTTATACATCAGTAGGACTGAGTTGGGGCAGTCTCATTGTCTTTATTGTATTTTTCTGTTGGTTATGTAAGAGATGCAGAGGCTCACTTTTCTCCAGGGTAGCCAGTTCACTCAATTGGGGACTTGACATCACAACAGCCAAAGAAATAGCCTCAATAAGAGAGGAGTATATCCTGCTTGCTCCTCATTATCCCAACCCATCTCATTTATCAGTCGTTAATGCTGTGATTCTCAGGCAGATGCTTTAGAGCATATACAGCAATAATCTTTGCTATGATACAATATGTGTGCATGCATATCAAGCATGCCCTTTACCTTGCATTAGATTTGTGGTGGTTAATTTTGACTGGTCAAAAACAAAATATTAACCACCATCAAATGTGTGTGTAAAATTGGAGGGAAATATGAGCTTTCAGGCATCCATATTAATCAAAGCTGGTTGGGCAATCCATCCTAATCAGCAGGATGTCCAGATAATGGCAAGGGAAGTGCACTTCAACATAGAGGTTATTGTACATGCCCAAGCTGTGCCTTCAACTATATAAATATCTGATAACCTAAAGCAGTAGGCTGCTGGTATCTGCATAAATTCTCCTCTTGTGGATTTTCCAGCAGCAGCAGTTATCAGAAGAAGCACAAAGAGCATGAATACAAATGTGTGCATGCAACAAGTCTTTATCCAAGCGGCGCTCAGATGCATCAGAAAGCATGACGCATGTATTTTCTAGTCCTGACCACACGGAGAACGGGCTTAACAGCGGTTAGCTTAGCTACGTTTTAAATAAGCGATTAGCAGCTAGATTTGGCTTCTGTTTGCCAGTTAGTTTCTCAGTAGGCTAACATAGCAAAGCAACAAGTCTTATTACAATATGTAGAAAAAAAGATACATTTAAAAGTCCTTGGCTGGGAAGGAAAATGCTAACATCTCTGGTTAAGGTGCTCTGTAGGAAATTGATGAAGGTGATGGTGGTTATATATTCACACAAATACAATATCTCACGAAGCATTTAAAAGAAGATCGACTTATAGTCTTTGAAATCCATAATCATTTTTCACCTAGTTTAGTCACATATCATACATTCTTTTTCTGTCTAAATATAGACATAAACTATTAACATCATTCACAAATCCTCTCTAATGTATTTGGGATTCCTGGTCTCTAATGTTATCCATCAACCTGACACACATTCAGTCCCAGGAGACAGAGAGAGATCTTTAATGCATCTCAATCGACTTAGCTTTAACTAAGACAGGGTGACGTCTGCTGTGTTGGAGGGCTTTTAAAACACGTTTTGGCAGAGTGAAAAAGATTTGAATTAAGGTTGGCTATGAAGGGTAGGTTCACTTTTTTTTTTTAACTGATCTAGTTGTCCCTCATTATTTATAGTTAATGATAGTGCAGCCTTATGAACTAGAGTGATCTCTGTTATACAAGTGAATACAGAGTGACAACAATATTAAAAAAAAAATAATAATAATTTTAACTTTATTTCACTTAGCTACTTACAGTAGGATATTGTGCAAAATAAAGTCAGGACAACTTGGAAGTGTCAGGTTTGTGACCTTTATCGCAGGAGGGCATAAAAATGGTATGTCTGGTGTAATGTGAGATTTCTCCTGATTTTGAAAATATGATTCAGCTTTTTTATTTATTTGTTTTAAAAGGGCCGAATAGTTGTCCAGCTGGATGTTATATAGGCTGCACCAGCAGCATGATCACAATGTAAGGTTGGGAAAACTTTTATCGAAGTCTTGTTTGAAATGGAAGAAAATTGTTAGTGCATTTCCTTTGCACTTTTTTTTTTAATATTAGGCTTATTTGTGCAGTAGTCAGAACTCTAGTATAAGTACAGAGCAGTTTTAAAGCCCAGTGGAGGTTGTGACCTTGCTCTTTGGGATCATCAAAGCTGAAAATCTCTTGTTCACCGTCAGCTAAGGTGGTCGGTACACAGATGAAACAACAGTCACAGTCTTGAAATAGCTCAGAGCTTTTTTCTAAGTAAAAATAGTGTAGCCATATTTGCTAAGTGAGTGGGTGGTCCAGGTACACAAAACCACCTGTATCCTAGAACAGATGGCCTAATGTACCCACTACTGGGCAAGCAACTGGGGACATCACTGGTCACTGACGAATACCAGAGAATTGTTAAGAGTAAAGATACGAGATTTCCTTATAGACGAAACATAATGAGCAGCACAAACAGGATGAACATTGTCCTTTTTTTTAAAACCACACTGGCTTTGATAAAGTGCAATTTAAAAATTCCTTTAAGTCAAGACACTGACATACAGGATAGTCACTCTATTGTTTCTATTTGTTTCAGGTCCGCGGCTAGCTCTGGCAAGATTATTGTCAGGTAAGCAAGCAGTATGTCTTCTAGTGTAGTGGCTGTCTGATCTTTGTTGTTGGAATATATCAGCAGCTCCTTCAGTTAAAACGTTTTCTTTTTGTCCACAAAGCTCTTCTCCTGAAAACACCTGTGATTGTTTTATCATCTTATTGTCTTGCATTTAGAAGTAGTTTTCAGTGGAATAAGAGTTCTTTACGGTTTTTAAATCAGACTCCGACTGATGATCTCTTACAGTTTTGATGCAGTCCACGCATCAGGAACGTCATTCTTATAAACTCTTAATGCAGTTCTTAAAACAGTTCATACGTTTCTCATAACACTAACACTGCTTCAAGATTTACACACAAAACGTTTTGATATTTTGATATAAACCTGACTGACTTTAGAAGAAGAGAACTGCAAAAATTATATACATACAAAAGAACAATTCTGTTTCAACATTGCAGTGGTGTTTACTGTACTGTTTACATTTCAACCCCTCTCAACGGATTACTGTACTGTAACTTTAGAACAGTGTACGGACATGTATGTACAAGCCCAATGGAAGGCAGAAGAGCTTTAGATTTAGAACATGGTATAACCAAAAAACATTTTTAGATGTTTTTACTGTATGATATTTTCAATGAAGTGTTTCATATTAGAGCAGATATGTGGCACTTTGCATTTCATGTGTGTAATTTTTTGATTTCTGTGTAGAGTTTAGGAAAAAAATGAGTGAAAGCAGTTGTAAAAACAGTATCTGTAAATTCCAATACTATACTGTAATTGGTATAAGTGAGCACCAATTATAGTACAGTAATTCATACCACATAGAGCATGTGTGTGTGTGTGTGTGTGTGTGTGTGATTTGAATGAAAACACCACTAATTTAATGCAGGACTGTATCAAAGTGAGTGAGAGATCTGATGAATGTATGAACTGTTTTCATGAGTTGTCAGTCAAATGAAAAATGCATCAACACAATGAGAAAACATCTTTAGTAGTGAAGTATATGTGGATACAAAGGAAAGTTGTACAAATACAATGAGAAACGCTAATGTGTGTGGGGGAATGATGAACTGTTCTGATAACTACATTTAGAGTTGTGAGAATGGCTTTTCTGATGTGAGTTGCATCAAAGCGATTGAGATTGTAATATTATGTTAGAAGTAAGCATAGTGTTTGTATTAATCTCTGTTACAACATGGTAATGAGTTCATTTTCCTATTCCATGATCTATAACATTGCTGAGATTATTTGCTTATAGATTGGGTCATTCATCACATGATATAGGCTCAACACAGGCAGCTCTGATGCAGAGGCGTCTCTCACGTTAATCACATATGGCAATTGGCACGAACTGTGTTGCTGACAGATATAAACAGACAAAAAGCCTATAGATATTGTTAAGTATGTGTCTGCTCTCGGTCTAAGACTCTTTCCAGTTGCCGTCATAACTGAACTGTTATTTAAAGACATGCTTACAAAACCTCTGTTGTTTTATTCTGCCTGGTCTGATTTTGTTTAATATAATTTACTCAGGCGTGATTAAACTTGCAGACATGACAAAACAATGTTCTTTTGGTGGATTCACATTTCTAAGTTGTATGAATGTAATGTGTATGCTGTGGATTTTCTTTTTTTACAGGATCCCCTTTCTAGTTTCTACCAACAATTTTTTTTCTTTCTTTGCTGTCTCAGAATATTAAATTGTTGGGGGGGGCTAACAGACCGAAAGGGAGTGTGTACATTTATATACAGTACCAGTCAAAAGTTTGGACACACGTTCCCATTCACTTGAATGTGTTGTACTGTATATACTGAAGTGTCCAGATTCAGTTGGTTTCACTGGCTGCAATGGTAGTACTGCTCCTCTTTGACTGTGATTTCCTCAATTTGCACTTAGTCACTATAAGGAAGAACAATCTATTAATTTATTCACTCTATCCCCCTTATACATTCTCTTATTTTATCAACTGCCAGGGAAACTCAAGTGCCCCCATTCAGTCCTCTGCTGGACTCTGACTTAAAATGGTTTTCTCTCGTTTAAAAAAAGGTCTTAGTCACGTGCAGGTTTGACCACGCGAACTCTCTTGTTGTATTTCAGAGCAGCGCTGCAGCCCTGGGCAGTTTGCCTGCCGCAGTGGAAAGATGCAATGTATCCCAATGTCCTGGCAGTGTGACGGCTGGACAGCATGTGAGGACAAGAGTGACGAGATGGACTGTCCCCGTGAGTATAGCTCACTTAAGCCCTTTTACACCCACTCTGTTACCTAACATCCATAACATGATTGATTTCTGGAAAGAATAGCAACACCCAGGAAGCTTTTCACACTTGGACGATTGGATCACAGCTGGACAGCTCTGTATACAGGTGTGAATGTACCCACAGTGCCTTAAGGATGCACTGGGATCTAATCAAGCAAGTATTCAGAGGTGTTCAGTGATGCATGTTGACCACATAGGAACAGAAGCCTATAGTGCTGTTAAAAGCAGTGAGTGGGTACAGGCATTCTTGTCCATTTCATTATACCACATCACATTTAAAACCAATAGTGTGAGTGCAAATACAATTCAACTGCCAGATTTAAAGTGTGTGTGTCTGTGTGTGAATAGCACAATAAAACCTCCAAACACAGGTCAATCCAGTTGATTTGCTTTTACCAAGTGGTTCAGACTTGGTTTTTAAGTCTGCAGGTATGAAAAAAGTCCTCCTAATCCCCCCACAGTGAATCACAATGCTAGATTAGCCGCTCTGCACTGACAGCGTCACATGGCAGAAGAAGGCAGAGTTCTGAGTGGCTGCACGTGTGTCTGTGTCTCTGTTTTTGTTTACTGTTTGTTGATCTCTTCAGCTCGGCATAGATGTTGCAGTGCTAAGCCTTTGACCGAAATCCTATTGTTTTCCCCTCTTAAATCCAGAGAGACCTTATCCCCAGATCTCTGACCGCATAATGGGAATTATTGAATGGATTGAGTCCAGCATGTGACCTCCATACAGCAGTAGTTGTGTCTGCTTTGAGTTAAAGCTGTAAGCCTGCCAACAAAACTGTATACTGAGTGAGAATTTACACTGGACTCATTTATTGAGCAGGAAATAAAAGCAGAAATTGTTTGTTAAAGCATCACCAACAGTGCTGAATGTGGAAGCAGAACCTTCCTCTTGTTTTCATTGTTTATTCACCAGTAAAACAGTTGCATACCACTAATCCATATACAATATATTCTGTATGTTCAGAAGAAAATGTTAATTATTATTCACTGAAAAAGCTTGCAGCTGAACATCATATTTTGCCTGTGTTGGGTGACTGTGGTTTCAAAGAGAAAAGCAAGAAAAACCCACACAATGTTTACACATGCCTCAGTGAGGGGCTATTGTCTGCTGAATCAACAGCATGCATGGAAATCAATGTTCTTGTTTGGGATTAGCTCTTTGTTGAATAACATGGCAAGGTGCAGCAATCTTTCACACCAATTCCAGCCAAACAAATACCAGAAGAAACTGTTCAACCTTGTAATGTCAATACATGGTAGAAAACTGAAAAGGGGAAATGGTATTATAAAATATGTAATTGGCAAACAAAAAAACAAAAAAAAAAAACACATTGCAGGCTGCACTAAAGTAAGTCCCACTGCAAACTACAGACCAGTTATTGCACAGCTGACAACATATACACTGAACATAACACAGAACTGCAGAACTCCACTGTACTGTTTATGCAGAATATCTGCTGTCACAAAATAAAACAAACTGTCACATAAGTCTTTTTTTAAAATGAAAGATACATTGATAACATGGTTTAAAGTTACAGAAAATGAATGCCGTAAATTTCACAATTTATGTTTTTTTAATTGATTCTCGGTGCTTCTCCAGTTAAGTTTTCAGTTCAGTTTGTCTTAATTTGAGAACTGAGACTCCTTCTTCAGTATAAAGTATTGTTATTTTCATAAACTGTAATTCCTGCTTTTTGCCTGCTTTCTCAACAGTTATAATTTTTTATTGAATTAAATGCAACAGAGGAACACAACATTCAATTTATTTTGAGTGGTTTCTGTAATTTATTTTTCAGCTCCTGAATAATCATTAATAACATCCTGCTTCTGTTCTTTTTGCCTCTGGAAGATTTTTGTTTTCAATGCTGTAATGTACGAACAACTAGTGAAGGATTATAGGTGAACTAAAGTTTGTCTGTTAGTGTTGTTGATTGCCATTAGTATCTTTTAATCATTATTATTATTATTTCCAGCACATCTACTTCCTTAACACATTTTCCTGTATAAAATGTAGCAACATCCAAAGTACTTGAGTGGAATATTAGCAGGAGATTAATCTTGACATCATTCAAGTCTATATTGTGCTGTATGTAGACAATGCTGGGATTCTCCCCTCACTCCAGATCCAAACCACTGTAAACTCCTTATTATATTTACAATCTGCACAGTCTGCAAGGCTTTGATTCTGCTTTTATCTTCCTCAAAATTTATATCTACTTCCTTGATTTTGAATTATACATGTTTCTCAATGTTTCTAAATTCCTTTTTATAAGTATTGAACCTCAACACAGGAAATGTTGATCAGAAACACATATTACTGCAGAATAAGCAAGGGAAAGACATGTCCTTACATTCTTCAGGCATTCATGAATACATGAAACACAAAAGGGCTTTTCCTCCAACATAATTTTGAATGAGGGAATACCAGGCAGAGCTGGTGCAGAAACAAGCAGCACTGACACGTTATGGGTTTATCTATTTATGTATCAGGCTCTCAGACAAATGAAAAAGGTTTATTGTTGCCTTTGAACACAGGAGCAGTCTGACAGTGGCTCATTATATTACAAGCTTTTAACAGGTTGCACAACATGAACAAATCTCTCTTTAAAAAAAGCTCCTGAGTTCCTGAGAACTTTTTATAATAGTAGGAAAAACCTCATCCACATTTTTTGACCTTCAGTAATTTTCTTGCAGCTATAAAGGAGGAGAGGTTTCGTTTTGGCAACGGATATGACCAGGTAGAAGACGTCATTGGTGTGGCTCAGCCTGTGCGCTTCAACAGTAAGCATCTCACTTTACTCTCCCCCACTTTATTGTAGTTGAGTGTATCGTTGTTGAGTCTGCACTATGATTGTGTAGACAGCTTTTACCAACCACAACGCTTACGTTTCTTCTCCGTCCACAGAGAAGTGCCCCAGTGGGTGGCACCACTACGAGAAGACGGCCAGCTGTTACAAAGTGTACCTGAGGAACGAGAACTACTGGCAGGCTGTGGATACCTGTCAGAAAGTCAACGGCTCATTGGCTACGTTTGTGACCAACGAGGAGCTGCAGTTCATACTGAAGATCGAGGTGGACTTTGACGATAAAGTCTGTGAGCGCAGAGACCAGTGCAAGTGAGTTTTTACCAACTGTGTTATTGTCTGAAAAATGTGGCATTAGTCTAACTTCGGCCACGAGAAACAGCTGAAGTTCACGGATGTTATTACTGTTTAGTCAGATTTTTGTGACTTCCTACAGACTTTTACCAGTTAATAGTATGAGATAAATGGTTTCTTGTGATGACATTAAGTCACTATACTATACTCTGCTGCAGAGCCAAACACGTATATTAGATAGATAGATATTTCTGCCCATGTGCACAGCTCTGCCCAGCCTCTGCAGTCTCCTCTCCCTGTGCCTTTTCCATGTGGCCTTTATTTACACAGTAAATAGCTGCCTGAACATGCATGCTTGAAATCTCGACTGTCAAGCTTTCTTTCACTTAAGAGAGAGAATTCTACAACTTGAGATCAAAACCTTAAAATTGCAAGTCTACTTTTCTAACTTATTAAACTGCTTTGCTCTTGTTGACCTTTTTTCTTCCTGTGATATAAACTGTATAGTCAAATGTATCCGCCTGGTCGTTCTGTTATTGTTGTAGGCCATCTAGTGGCCGATAGTGGTAGTTTAATCATCTTAAACTGGCCTACGCACAAACCCTGAAATAGACTATTTGACACAGTAAGTTTAAACTCTTATTGTTTGTTTTTAAGGTTCTGGGTGGGCTACCAGTATGTGATCACCAATCAGAACCACTCTCTGGAGGGCCGCTGGGAGGTCGCATACAAAGGTATTAAAGATTTGGTTTTGTAGGAAGCAAATATTATATTATATAATAATATTATTAATGATATAATATTATTATTAAATTGCTGATATGTTTCTCAACAGGGTCAATGCAGGTGTTTCTGCCACCTGAGGGTCTAACCAATTTTGGGGAGGCGTCTCCCACCCAGGACAATGTCTTCTGTGCCCAGCTGCAGCGTTTTCAGATAAAAAGCATGAATGAACGAGGCCTGCACAGTTGGCACGCTGAGAACTGCTACAAAAAGTTCCCCTTTCTCTGCAAGAGGAGTATGTGTCCATTGTTTTTTCCCCCCAGATGTGTCCAAATAACAATAATATTTTCTTTATTTCAGTCGTGGTTTTGTTTGTTTTTTGTTGTTTTTTTTTCTTCATTTTCACTTTCTATGTTTATCTGACAGGGCAAACGTGTGTGGATATAAAAGACAATGTCGTAAACGAGGGCTACTACTTCACCCCTAAGGGGGACGATCCGTGTCTGAGCTGCACGTGTCATGACGGCGAGCCTGAGATGTGTGTGGCCGCACTGTGTGAGCGACCGCAGGGCTGCCAGCACTTCCGCAAGGATCCCAAAGAGTGCTGCAAGTTCACCTGCCTGGACCCAGGTACTGCCCCCTCCTGATGCAGCTCACTGATTAGAGTGATATTTCACTCCAGCAGAATATTTTCCCATTCAGTCAGTCACCGGCTGTGGTAGTGGGTAAATAGACTTCATTCTTGGAGCTTTACATTAACATTTTCCGATGTAACAGTCACTGCTCACAGCCCCACAAGATGGAGCTCCTCACATATCTACAGTATTTGATACTGCAGCTTGTGGCAATTTTACACTCAGCCACAGGATATCTTTTACACTGTACAGCATAAATTGAATGATTAAAAATAACTTCCCACATGTACAATGCAGAATTCTCTCAGAGAGAGAAATTTGTCATAATGAGGAGTGTGCCAGTGAAGAAGAGTGCAGAAAGTAATGCTCTTATTTTGTTGTCTTTCCTCTTCGCACTCAGATGGAAACAGTCTGTTTGACTCGATGGCCAGTGGGATGAGACTGATCGTCAGCTGTATCTCATCCTTCCTCATCCTCTCTCTGCTGCTCTTCATGGTGCACAGACTCCGTCAGCGGAGACGTGAACGCATTGAAACACTAATTGGAGGAAACTGTGAGCACTAAGCCTGTTGGACATTCACACACACACAACTCTCTGGTTGATAATAATTTGGTTATGTAATGAGGTTTTCTCATTATAATTAGTTTCAGTTGATTTAACTGCAGCGCAAGTTTTTATTTTATATTAACTTCATATGCTGTGGCTGATTATTGTATATTGTTGCAGTCATTTCACATTGGCCTCTGTATCTGTCTGTTTTTATTTGCTCAGTGCACCACTTTAACCTTGGAAGACGAGTCCCAGGCTTTGACTATGGCCCGGATGCCTTTGGCACCGGCCTCACTCCCCTGCATCTGTCTGATGATGGAGAGGGAGGTGCTTTTCATTTCCAAGAGCCTCCTCCGCCATACGCAGCCTACAAATACCCAGACATCCAGCACCCCGATGACCCCCCTCCTCCGTATGAGGCCTCCATCAACCCAGACAGCCTCCTCTACGTGGACCTCGGTAGGCGCAGATCCTTGTCTAGTTATTCATGAATCTCATCATGTACAGAAAAGAGTTTTCATTTCCTCTCTTTGTCGTTACCTTCAGGACACAGCGGGGTCTCCATGGTGCCGAGCCAGATGAACACCATGGGAGACGGTCTCCAGGCTGATATTCCCAACGCTTCTGGTCCCATGCCAGGGTCGGTGCCGTCCACTCAGGAGAGGGAGGACTCCATAGATAGCAGCACCCTCCTGGTGGGGCCCGACACTCCGACAGATGGCCACACCCCCGCTTCCATGCCTGCTGACTGCGCCTCCCTCAGCACCGTGGTATAGGACTGTGGATGGACAGCAGGGACCTGCACCCGGACATTACCTGCTAGTGGAGGAAGGTCATGAGTGCGTTGCTGCACCGAGAGAAGACGCAGCACACTGTTGTCATTTATCTAAAATGCTGACTGCAGAGAGGAGAGTTAAAGTTTATACAGACATATCAGAAGGTGGAGCAGCCTGATTTCTTTGAGGTGTCGCAGTAACGAATAGATGCCCTCTTTCTGAAGACTCCCGCGGCCCTCCCGCCCCCTGGGGTGGGGAGAAATTTAGCACTATACAGTGGCACTAAAAGAAAAGATGCTGCTCTGTCAGCGTTGTGTATTAAAATGTGGTTTTAATAATTGTAGTTTTCTCTGGCTTCGGATTCATGTGATTTAGATTCCATCCACTGAAAGAATAAGTCATTTTTACATGCACTCATATGGTATTTTAAGATCTATTACGTTACATAATGTGAAGATTAGTTACATTCTCATTCCATATTTCACTTAGATTTATACAAATGGCTTCTCATAATCCATAACTGCAGAGACTGTGCACAATATTACTCATGCTCGACATATCACACATAATGAACGTGTGATAATACGTTTGTGTCTTTTTTTCTGGAACTTTTATCTTTATGACTGCGACACATCTGCTTTGCAATCTGCCTCAGTCTTGATTCATGTTTAATCATGAATACAATTTTATCACCACAATTAATCAAGAACAATGACGATTGATGTGATTGTATGCTTGTTAAAACCATCTCTGAGTTGGTGGAGACACAGTGGTGTAGTCTGTTTGAAGTCCCCCTCTCAAATGATTTGGCAAGAATAATACAGAAGCTCCTCTCTGGTAAAAGATAATTCATTATCACTGGTTTTAATTTTATCTCAGGGGAATAAAGTGTTGAGATAATTTGTAAAAGTTGTCTTTCTACAAAATATCTCATTATCTGCACTCCTCGTGTTTCTGATTATGTAATAACTTCATTGTACCCCGATGTCACCGTGATCCAATCTCAGCGAGCCTTTTGTGAATGTCAAGTGGGGTGCCTAGAGTCGCACAAGGAAAAGAAAGTAACCAGAACCAAGAAAAGAACTTTTCCTGTAAAGGAATGACCTAGAAATAAAATTACATCCAAAGTGCTTCTTTGACTTAAACTCCTACCCTTGTGTTTGAAAAGGAGAAGACTTTTAACTGCAGAGCTTCCAAATGTTACATTATGGCTGACATGTTATCCACAATTTAATTTAGCCTTATTCAGAGGCATCCAGTTTATATCCAAGACAATAAGCAATAATTATTAGATGTTTTACAGTCTGTTTTTCCTGTTTGACACTTTGGACATCTGTTTTAACATTATGTTGGACATATTTCACTTTTCTGTTACTGGAATAATGAATGCTCACATCTAAGCGGTCTGCATACACAATATTTTACTTTGTAATTGCATTGAAAAAAGGGTGAACCAGGGACTGACACGCAGGACCTGTTTATTATTTTACTGCCCGCAATGACCTTGTAACTAGAAAGTAAACAGAGTGAAAAAGGCGTCAAGCCAGCCTGTATACCAGAAAATACACCCTTTACCTTGTAACCACAAACTTTAAATAACAGTGAAAAAGGGGTGAAACAGGCTGTATACACTGGACTTATATTGTAATAAGGGAGCTTTCCGCTCAGATTTTAAATGCTTTGTCCTAATTGCTCACTAAAAAGTACTGGCCACTTATCTGCAGTCAGACTCATTCATGTATGAAAACGTTGGGTAAGAAACCTTCCTTTTTACTTTGTACTGTAACTTACTTCCCTTGTCTCTGATTCAGCTTCAGTTTGATGACATACAGTGGATCCCTACAGTGCGGACGCAAGCAAGCTTGCATACTAGCATTAAGCCTCTCCCAGTCCCCCCTACTCAGAATTCATTAGAGCGCAACAAAATTAGATCTTCATAAAAACAACTTGGGTGCCACCTTAATTTATGAAAGGTGGCGCAAGGGTGTTTATTCAGCTCCCCATGGGCCACTCAATGAAAGAATAGCTGTCCACATGACTCAGTATGCAGCAAATATATTTCAAACCAGAAAACCCAGGACACCCACACAATTCATATTTAATACTTGAAAAGAGTGTATGTGAACGCATCCCAACCAATTTCATCACCAAGGCCATGCAACTGGGGCCTCATCCGATCCAAACAAAAAGAATTATTCTGTCTCTCTCTCTCTCGCTTCTGCTGAAAGTGATGACTCTGTCGTATGTCATGTCTCCCAGCATCAAACCTGAGTGATGTGCCAGTCTACTCCGCCTGCTTGTACCCACTAACCCACCCAATGCGAACAGGAATGAAAAGCTCCGCCGAGGTACTAAAGAGAGTAAAATCCTAGTGTGTCCTAACAGCCGACAGCCGGAGGTGTTGTGGGGCAGGTATTCACCATATTAAGTCCAGACAGAGGGGATCCACGGCCAGCGCTCCCTCATTACACCTCATCCTAGTGGGGGAATTTACTGCTTTCTCCCCAAAAACAGGTTTGCCCACAGCCGCAGTCCTAGCCATGTGTGTGTGGAGGGGCCGGGGGTGGGGTCATGTGCAGTTAATGGTTGGGGTGCAAATATCAGAGTCATTAGTTTAGGGAAATACTTTCATGCATTTTATTGCAATTTTGTTGAATTTGATGAAAGCCCTGCTAAACACAATGGCATGTTTTAATCTGTAAGTGGATTTTGTGTGCATGGACAGAGAGCTGTGGTAATCAAAATGCAATTTACATAATTGAAGGCTCAGCTGAATATATATGATGTGTCAAAACATTGTTTCTGTAGGGATTTTTGTAATCTTTGACCAAAAGATCCAAAAATAGTTTTCAGAACAGTGCATCAATACCTGCTTCTGTTCAGTAGTTAAGCGAGTGGGAGCATGAACAGCTGCACAGCGTCTGCAACAAAACATATAAAACATCCATTTTGAACAGATTCCTCCTGGATTACCAGCTGCGGAGGATCAGATCTAATAATGAAGTAGAAAATGAGATTATGCTGAGTCTATTAGTTTTCTAATTCTCTGTAGAGAAGTAAAATATGGTCTGCTAGTGATCCATAAGTCGTTGCACATCAGTCACCAGAATAGGCTTGATATAAATGGAAGTCCTTGAAAATCCTTCACACTGGGCTGGAATAACCTTTTTTTAGTGAAGTCTAATTAAAAGCGAAGTAGAAACAACAGAATAAAACTCAGGCCACGAATCAGATTATCTCAAATCTACCTTATAAACAAGAATGAGAACGAACTGATTTTATCATGAAACTGCTAAATGATTGGAATCTATGATCACTCTTTTAAGTCTAACATCCTCTGAAAAGATTCCGAAGACTGAAAATGAGACCCCTGGCTCTTGAGATTTTTTTTTTTTTTGTTTGCCTACACAGCCTGTCATGTACATTTCATGTGCCACCCTACACATGAAAATTGCCACTCTACAAAATGCTTTTTCATGCTCACTGAGTCTAAGACTGTTAAAGTCCCTACTTCCATTTCCACTGCAACACTCTTTGTGTGGCACAGGTTATGTAGAACAGAAACTGGCACTTTTTTTTCACACACTAAACACTTAGCAAAGCAGCCTGGGGCGGGCCCTTCCGCTGGTTTTGGACAGGTGTATCTATTTGCATTTTAACACCTTCTTAAGTCGTCGACGTGCTGTTTTCAGAAGTGAAGCAAATCTATTGCCACCCGCAGGGGACAAGGTGAGTCATAGCATCACAGCTATAGTTATGGACAAATTAATTATACCCTTGGAAGATTGGGAATTATCAGTTTAGCGGCCATAACTGTCTGAAGAAAATAATGAAAATGCTACCATACGGCATACACATATGATAGTAATTGCAGGGCAGCAAGCGACAAACAACAAACATACAGGGCAGGGATCCCTCCTTCTGCCGAGCAGGAATACACCAACGGATAAATAGCATGCAGGAGTTCTTGATACGTCATTTGTGCGCCCCAACCCTAGCCAATGAGAAGTCAGCGCTCAGTTGGACTCCTGTTTTTTTTTTTTTTTTTTTTTTTTTTTTTTTTTTTTTTAAAGACACTGGCATCTGAGGGAGCAGAGGGACTGTTTCTGTACAGAGAAGAAAAACACTACATTCAGGCTGGGGAAGCTGCACTTTTACTTTTAGCATTGACTGAGCAAAGCTTTTGAAACATCTCAGATTTGGCCTGATTGGTCGAGAAGCCCTGATGTAAATAACCCCCTCAGGTCTGTGCCAGTCCAATTTGTAATACTTGTGTGTTTTGGTCCAGCACAAGGCAAATAATGACAGATGGACAGTGAAGCCAGCTTTTGTCCCTTGTGCGTTTTTGTTTGCATCATACTGTCGTTTAAATGGACGTATCTGTAATGATCTGTTGGTCTCCAGGCTACAAATAATGTTTTCATCTGTCCCGGCATGTCCCAGATCTCGATTTCTACTTGCTCATAAAAACCTTCTGTCCCTTCACTTTCTTACTAGTCTGATCATGAAGCTGTCTTCCAGGTTTATAGCGCATATTTGCAGCAAAAGATGTTTTGTAGTTAAGAGGTTTAACCTTGCAAGAAGGTACAGTTAGTTTCCTCCTATAGGGTTTTTATTAGGTAATGCTGACACAAGGCATTATGTATCAACGAATGTTGTGGTACTGATAAATACTGAGTTTGGTATTGTGTTCTTTTTTGTTGATAATTTATGACTGCAGGCTGTAATCTCGAATGTTTTATTGTGGGATAGATGCAGCCCGATTGCCCGACTGATCAGCGAGCGAAAGCAATGAAGCTTTTCATGTGTATGTGTGAAGATTAGGGACGATATCCCGTCATCAAATTTGAAAAAAATACATTTATTTAAAATCATGTAATCATGCAGACGGTCCCAGTGTTGTTACTTTATCATAACAGGGTAGTTGTGTATTTGCTAACTGAACCAGTTTAGTGACTCAAAGCTTGCACGCTCATCCCTCGATTAAATCAGGTTTTGTTTGGTTTTTATTTTTTTTTGTTTTTTTTTGTTTTTTTTGTTTTGTTTGTGTTTTTTTTTTTAGTAAAGTTTGTCAGTTGTCACGTTTGGATGCTGCCCCTCCATCCCTGATGTCTTTGTATGTGCGATTCTTCACGCACTACATCTGTTGTCCCAGTTATTGAGGTTGTTTTCAGCTACTGATGAAGATGATGTCACTGACTTCAGATATGAATCTTTTCTGTTATGGTGTTGATGGGTCTGTTATTGTTCTTGTTTCTCAGTGGGATCACAAAAGAAAAAAAAATTGTAATAAAAGAAAAGTTTAAACTGTATATTTGGAATGAGTTAGACCCGTGTTATGACGACAATCGTTTGATTCACTCATGGATGAATTTTATAAGCCTGAGAAAGTCAGAGTCGACCCACAACCACCAGCATTCAAACCGCTTTTGATCTGCCTCTAGAAAAACAGCTGTAAATGTGTGTCTGAATGACTGTGTGCGTCTCATGTTTGAATGTACCATATGTATAAAATATAATTTTTTTTGTGCTGAAGCTTATTTTCTCCTTTTTTTGGCATATTGACAATCCACAGTGGATTATCCAACAAACAAAATCTTATAAATTGTAGAAAAAGTAATGTGCATGTGTGTATAGGAGATGGTTTACTGGTTTGGATTTTTTTTTTTTTTTTTTTTTTTTTTTTTTTTCTCTCATCAAGTTTGTTTGGTTTTATTTTTTTAACCTGTTTTTTGGACCTGCAGTGCATGTTTTTATCTTCTGGCATGCTGAGAGATTTGTTTTTTTGTTTGTTTTTGTTTTGATGGAAAGTTTTAGCTCTACAGTGTGTCCTGTACAGTCGGCTCAAAGACTCCTGCATATAGTTTAATATCTCCATATGCATCGAAAACCTGCCCATGACTCGACCAGCTGCATTTACACTGTAGTTTCTGTTCAAGACTATGGTGGTGTGAGAACTAATTTTAATGGATTTGAAATGTTTTATGTATAATACAACAAATGTCTTTTATTTCATAGCCAATTTTACAAAATGCTTCATTTGCAGGGGGAGGGGGGGAGGCTTGTGTTTTTCTGAGGTAGATGTACATCTAATCAAATGCCAAATAAATTGCACCATGAAGGACGACTCATGCGTCAGTGGGTATGAACACACACTGAACTTTATGTTGAACCTGATCAATCACGACATTTAGCTGCTCTGTGAGTCCTTTTGACTTGCTGAAGAAATTCCTCCGCCAGCAGTGACCAAATGTCAAAGAGGATTAAGGTGGGATGCAGGGAAATCCCCCCTCCTCTCCCAACAGTGAGATAGAGGTTGCTGGATAAATCAAATCCACAGCAATCCAAAGATTCAGATAATTTAAAGAAAGCGGATATAGCACACCTCACAGTGACTCATAAGGCAGCAGGCGGAGCAGAGATAGTGATACCCTGCTGGAAAGCATTGTCGCTGAAGAAAAGAGGCTTTGTTCACACAGGCCAGAGTAGTGACAGAATCACAATCTATTCCTGGATGGGAGAGAAGTAACACTTAAAGCTGAGCTGCTCACTGAAGACGTTGATTGAATTTATGAGACAGTGGAGAAGTTTAAAATCACTTTAAAACGTTTCACACTTGAAAAAGGAGATATCAGAGTTTTATATATATCAAGTTGAGCGCATTAACTGGCATCTTAACCACTATATCACATGCTACATCATTAGTTCAATATCATAATTTTTAATCTGCCAAACAATTAAACTACACTGATGCAGTACATCTACATTTAGAATAACGGCGCTTTAATATATTGCTGTGGTGGACAATGATGGGAACTGAAAGGAAAACCTAAAAATCCCATGAAAACGTTATCTCACAAAATGATAGGATGGATTTTCCACATCTTTACTGTTATCGCTGGTGCCAAACCATATATAATCTGTTCCTTTCTAATTCAGCGAGCTACACATCCTCTGGCTTTCCCGTGAGATGAATGTGTCTTGTTACTAGTCACTGGGCATCGATGCCGGCAGCAGCGAGGGGGGAGGGAGGGGAGGGGTGAAGCTGTCTTTGCATCAATGAGCCTGTTGATCAGAAAAGACCACCAGACTGGTAATGACACAGTTCACTGATCTGACCAGGAGAAAATAAAACTCAGCTTTCACCTCCGTTCCTACTTAAGTGGGACGTCTGCACTGGTTTTCAGTCTACCTCAGATACCGACACCTGTCTGCTTCATCAGGCTGCGGGATCCTACGATGATTTGGACTGCTGCTCTCCTCATGATTGTTGTTTCATACGCTGCATCAGGTGAGGCTCCTGCTTTTCTCTCATATGACAAAAACAACATTTTTTATATGTAATTTCTATTAAATTCAAGCTAATTAAATTAAAGTGAAGAAAAATTATGTTTCTCTACTCTTTCTCTTTTTTTATATTCCAGAAAATTACTGTTACAATGAGCCACAATGTGGTAAGTAACATATGAGCTAATTCTTAATTTAAAAACACACAGACAGACACTTTAAGAGTATGGTCATTGTAACATACATATATGTGCCCACTTGTTGGTGAATAATTAACTGGCTAATAGGAGACATTAGACATTATTCAACTGAAATAAACCATTATTTTATACAATTAATTTTTTCTGTTATTTTTAAACTAACTGAACTGTTTTTGGTTTGTAATAAATGAAGCAGTGTCTTCTTGCCACCCATGGACAGAAGTTTCATGAACTGTGAGCATATGGTTAAAAGAGTGATTTTCTCCTCTAAACCTCTCAGTTGGATTGATTTGAATAACTGCTACAGACTTCATGAGGTTAAACTATTGAGTGCTTCACAAGAAAAAATAAAAAGTAAAAAGCCAGGAAAAAAAGGTTAATTTAAGTGGCAGAGCGATTCTCTTTGAAAAAACAGATCTCACCACAAGGTCCATTTGTTGCTACATTTAGTTGCTGCTTGAACTTTTGGTCCTCTCACACAATCTTCCTCAGCAGATGTTGTTGACTGAGTTTTGACAAAACAAGAAGGAAAATGACAAAAACAGAACATCTGAACATCTAGTGTACAATTTCATGACAACTGTGCAATGTGAAGATGGCGTGTTATGATCAAAAGCTCTGAAACAGCCGCTAAATGGACCTCATAGAGAGACTGTTTTAACAGCTACTGTTTCCAAGGTCAGGAACTACATTTCAACCTCATTTTTAACATGAACACCACATGCGTTGTGCATGTGGTGTTCATGTGGTTTGTTTTCCATCCTCAGATCCTTATTCATGGGGAGACACATTCCCATCATGTCACCCCTTACTTGAAGAGCACCACTCTCCCATCAACCTCGACCACCAGATGACCAGAAATGACTCTCTGGGGTCTGTGCATCTGGAGGGCTTCGATATGATCCAAACAGGCCAATGGACGCTTAAAAATGACGGACACTCTGGTGAATATACTGCAGATACTGTCCTGAACATGTGTGTTATTGTCTCTTTTGTGCATTTGTGTTGGTGATTATTTCTCTCTGGTTGCTCACAGTTGTGCTACACGTCGGCAGTGGCATGTCAGTGAGCGGTGGAGGTCTTCCAGATGTGTACCACACCATCCAGGTGCACTTCCACTGGGGAGGCCCAGCCACCAACGGCTCAGAGCACACAGTGGAGAGACGCAGATACCCAATGGAGGTACAGTATGGTCAGTAGACAGCTCTACACTGTCACAAACCCTGTGATGCAGCAGACTGGGGCAGTGCCCTTGATGTCTCTGTACTTTTTTGTCTATTTCCAGATGCATATAGTCAACATGAAGTCCATCTATCCAAATTTGACAGCCGCCTTGGATGATCCAACTGGACTTGCTGTCCTTGGATTCTTCATTGATGTCAGTTTGTCAAATTTCTTTTATATATTTGAGCATTTGTAGTTATTTTCATATAAATAAGTCCTGAGTTTGTCCCTCCTTGCAGGTTGTGTATGCAGACAATGTGCACTTTGGACATGTATCACAAAAACTGTCCTCTGTAGCTTACAAAGGTTTGTGGAAACACACAAAAAAAATAATTTCTACATGTTGTTTGTGTTGTTTGTAAATGTTCTAATTACTGCTGTGTATCCTTCCCAAGGCCAAACTACTAAAATCAAGCCATTCCCACTGATGAGCCTTCTGCCGAAGCACAACATGAGTCAGTATTACCGTTATTACGGCAGCCTCACCACCCCTCCTTGTTCCCAAGTGGTTGTATGGACTCTGTATGAAGTCCCCATCTACATCTCATGGTCTCAAGTATGTCTCTAAAGTCATTTCAAATTATACTTTCCATGAAAATAATCTAAATGGCTTCATGGGTGCTGTAAATCAATATTATTTTTATATTTTCCCCACAGCTGGCTCAGTTTACCTCACAGATCTTCTCCACAGAGGAGGATGCAGAGCAGGTGACACCTCTGCAGAACAACTTCAGGCACATCCACCCTACCTTCAGCCGCATCATCTCTGCATCCAAAGATGCCAAACTTCTCACAGGGACGGCCAGTCGTCCCTTCAGGTTATCTGTGTCAGTGCAGCTGCTTCAAATCATTTTACTGGGAGGCTTCATCTCTGGACTCTAGTGCTGCGTCAAGTCCAAATCATGAAACATGAAACACAACAACGGCGAACAAGGATTAATTCATGTTTTTTCTGTGGTCACAGAGGTTTCTGATTTGAATCTGAGTTAAAGTGTAGAGTTGTCACATCCGTAGAGATGCTCCAGCAACTAATACATATAAAAAAACAAACTGTGAAGAAGAGTACTGTAATGTGTTGAAGTGTTACTAATTTTTTCATGATTGTGCCCTGCTGTCTCTGCAGGATTATTTAACTCCATTAGTGCATTACTAACAGTGGTGAATGGAGCACTGGTAGCATGTGTGCATTTATGACTGTAGGCATTGTACAGTAGCTTGTTCTTGAAAAGGTACAATCCTAACATATAAGGTAGTTTTCATTAGTATTCTTCAGACTTTGGGTCTGAGATTGTTAGATTGTTAAAACTTGATAATAGTTAAAGACAAAAGATAAATTTAGTCAAAACTTGAGAACACACAGACAAAGAGGATATAGCCATGCTAGAAGGCTAAATGCTATGTTGTCACTTGTTCACTGTGTTAGTTTAGAGTATTAGCATGCTAACAAGTACAGTTGAGGTTGATTGGAATATTATGTATTTTACAAGTATTTTATCATAAAATGAAAAAAATGAAATAAAATTTTGACCTGATGAATGCACTGGATGAAATGTTTTTTTTGTGTTGTTTGTGTTTTTAGCCACATCGCTAGCGTGGCTAAAAACAGAGGGGAAGGCAGTCTGTTTTAGTGGCTTTAGTTCTTGTTCACATCAAGTATTATCACAATACAAATTTCAGAGTTTTATTTGAAAACAAACAGTATGTGGGCGCAGCAACTCACCTACTGAATGTTATCTGTACAGCTGTAACCCCAAACAAGCCTGCACATGAGCCTGGTCTTTTTATACTGCTTCAATAGACCTTTTCATGGTAGACATTTTGATATGTCCTAATAGGAAAACCACAGGTCTAATGAATAATATTAATAATATTAATAAGGGTTGAAAATCCATTCAGCTTTACCTGTTCCAGGGTCCTATTACCTTGCATGCTGGCTCATAGACATGGCTCCCTGACAGAACAAAGTCATCATTAGTAACACCTGTGTTTTTCGAAGCCAAATCTCCACTATTGAAGAGCACATTAAGTCCATTAAGATTGGACCTAAAATAAAGTGTACTGCAATGAAGGGTACCTAACATGCAAACTTTTCTGTGTGCATTTATTTTGCATATTTGCCAGGAATCATGCAGATAAGGGCTTCAGGTATGCAAATGGACAACTCTGAATGACTGAATGACACCTGCAAGAACAAATATCAGTTAAATGTCAGTGTCCACAATTTCACTTTTCTTTCTGCCGAATCAGAATATTTCTACTGAAACTGAATCTGAAAGATTCCCTGTATTCAAACAATAAACATAAATTAATCTGTTTCCTTTTTGTTGTTGAATAGTTATAAGGATTCTGCTTTGTCTCTTGTTTCCAGTTCTGTGAGGCAATGGCAATTATGCAAAGAGGCTTGAGTGAGTTGTAAATCTGTGGCTACAGTGTGCCAACATGAAAAGTTTAAATAACACAACCCTGCCGGCTTACACAGGTGTTGAGTGGAAAATCTGTGTGAACACTTTATCAAAATCAGAGTTATATTGAGTCATAGATGTAATGTGTACCATGTAGGAAATCTACATGAATCTAATGAATGAAACTACATACATAATAAATAACCATAATAGGAATAATAAAATAATGAATAAAATAATAATTATAAAATAAAAAAGATAAATAAAACCACATAAATCTATAAAAATAAGTAGATCTGTGATTACAAAAGGAGTTGGAAAGACAAAACAAGAGAGCACAGTTGGAGTGATAATGTTTGACCAATCAGATCACTTGGTGTGGAGCCGTGTGCTCTTCTGTTGGTGCGTTCGATATCACTCAGCAGATGGAGATGAGTGTGAATTGGGCACCCATACTGTCTAAGCACACTCTCCCATCCCATCCTCTCTGCTTGTGGTCACACCATCCTCCTTCTGTCACGGCCTCGGGGAAGCACACACACACACACATACACACACACACACACACACACACACGCACACACACGCACACAGAATGAGAGAGAGTGACCACACTGTAAGCCTTTTCTCTTTCTGTGTGAATCTGAGTCCAGGGTTGGGCGAATGTGATGTCAGGCTGCAGAGTTTGATTGCAACCAAACACAACAGCATCTGAATTCACCAAGGTCGTAGGTTTTCAGATCGACGGTAGGGAGATGTCCCTACCAATATTTACCAGTATTTGAGTGAACTCTTTCACACTACTATGACGTTTTTATGCCTTACTATATTATAAGGTTTTTGTCATATTTTATGCCTTACTATACTGTGAAGTTTTTATGACATTTTATACCTTACTATAGTATGATGTTTTAAACACATTATATACCTTACTATACTATTTTGTTTTTATGACATTTTATGCCTTACTATACTGTGATGTTTTCATGACATTTTCTGCCTTCCTATGCTATGACTTATTTATGCCTTACTATAATATGCCTTATTGTACTATGTTGTTTTTTTCTCTTTTAAGGCCTTTCTGTACTATGATTTCTATATACCTTACTATAATATGAAGTTTTTTGATGTTTTTATGCCTTGTTATACTATGTCGTTTTTCACTTTTTTTGCCAAACTATACTGTCATTTTTTTCACTTTTAGGGCTTGATTGTACTATGATGTCTTTTGATGTTTTATGCATTATTGTACTACATCGTTTTTTCGATTTTTTTGCCATACTATACTATTTCATTTTTTCACATTTTCTGCCATACCTCTGGTGTGTTGTTTTTTCACTTTTAGGGCCTTACCATAATATGTTATCTTCATATCTTACTATAATATGATGTTTTTCCATGTTTTTCTGCTTTATTATACTTTGTCATTTTTTTCACATTTTTTGCCATACTATACTATGTAATTTTTTCCACTTTTAGAGCTTTATTATACTATGACATCTTCATATCTTACTATACCATTACATTTTATTGATGTTTTTATTCCTTATTATACTATGTCGTTTTTCAATTCATTTTGTTATACTATACCATATCATTTTTTATTGCTCTTAGGGCCTCATTATACTATGACGTCTTCATACCTTGCCATACTATGATGTTTTCTAATGGTTTAATGCTTTATTATATTTTGTCATTTTTTCAAATTTTTTTGCCATACTATACTATGTCGTTTTTTTCACGTTTTCTGCCATATTATACCATGACGTCCTCAAGAAGTATGGTAGCTATGCGGCGCGCGGTCATGGGTGGCAAAAACTCGAGGCTGTAGGTGGGGTGGCTGCGTGATAGGTTGTGGGAAACTACTACCTTTGAAACACACTGCTGTCAGAAGGCGAACATATATAGCATAGAGGTGTCATTGAATACTTAGAAAAGTTGGTATGGCAAGGGTACTTGGAGGAGGTTAATTGGGGGTCTAGCATATGGGCGAGGAAAAACGTGGAATAAAGTAGAGGGACATTAGTATAGGGTCAATGGCAAAATAATTTGATGAAAATGATATAAGTATAATCGGGCTGCGGGGGGGTCATAAAACGTTAGAGCAACTCTGAGTAAATAAACGTGCATTTTGGTTGGCAAAGGGTATGAAGAGGTATGAATCAACAGTAGGGTCTGTAAAAGGTGGGAATAGAGAAAGAAATAGGCGGTAAGAGTATGGGTTTGGGGGGGGCAATAAATTTGCATGGAAAAGATAGGGACAAGAGAATATGGGGGCGCTGGGGTGGGATACTGAAGATTAGTGCTAAAAGATTCAGGTGAGAACCATCAGTAGTTAGGGGCAGGGTATGGGACGACGGATAGGGTATGCTGGATTGTGCTGGATGGGGCGGGTGTCGGCCGCGTGGGATAGGGTGCTAGGTCGTGTGTGATGCTTCGGCGCAATGTGATATTCGGGTTCAGTAGGTGGGTGTAGGCTGGGGCGGATCAAACCTGGGCAGGTTGTGTGAGATTGCAGAAGTGAAAAGACGCGATAGTAGTAGATTGTTCGGGGTTCCCGGTGGCTGTATGTTGGTGTGGGTGGAATGACGAAATGCAGTATATAGAGATGTAATGGTGGTCATAGTGGTGGGTAAATGTGGTGTGGGGTAAGATGTATGAAGGATCGTAGTAGGGTCTTGGGGTGGCGGGGGTGGTGTGGTGAATGAATGGGGTTGGTAGAAGAAGAGTGGGAAAGAAGCTGTGAATCGATGTACATGTAGTTAATAGGGTAGCGGGCAAGAATAAATGTCATACGGAAAAGTGGACAAAGATGCATTAGTATAGTGGGGACGGTGATAATAGAGCAGGGAAAATCGATGGCGTGAAGCACTGCGCATATAGTTGATAATGGTGGGTCTGGGGGGTGAGTAGGGGGTAGTGCTAGGTCGTGAAATAGCTATGGGATAATAGTGGCTTTATGGGGTAGCCGGAGAGAGCGGTGGGGGTTGCTGGCGCTCTAGAGTCGGGTGTGAGTGGAAGTGGAATAAGGATAAACCCAGCGATTGCGGAGTGCGGGGATGGGGAGTTATGGGCTGGTGCGATCCGGGGGTCGCACCGCGTGCTACACTGACAATGTGGGACAAAGCGATGGAAAAGTAAGGTTGCAGATAGAGGGCGTAGGGGGCAGACACAGGGACTATACAGAGGGTATGGACGCGAAGAACACAAAACACTGCTGGCGGGGGGAGAAAGAAGAAAAATGATGCAGACATCGCCCAATTCGTTACGGATGCCGGTCACGGCAGCTTACTTTACATATGTGCCCCGGTGAGGCGCGACCCCGCCGACTCCGTAAAAGGCTAGCTTTCGGCCCTGGTACAAGACCGGGCAACGACGAAATTCGATAGGTGGTCATGCGCGCTCGCTCTGAGAGGTGGAGTGTGGCGCAGGAGTTACAAACGTGCCAGGCGGTCGTGTGTGTACGAGAATACGGGTGGTGTGAGATAAAAACTGACGAGTATGCTTGGGGGA